TTCATAAGGGGACTTGGGATGTCCCACAGCAGCCTCTAAGGCTAAGTTGGGACATCCCATCCCCCTGTCTGGCAAGATGTCCCACAACACCCTCCACATAACACAAGGCCAAAATGCTATCAGACCATTTGCATGACCATAGGAGGCATGCACCCTTGTTGCACTCCAAAAATTCCCAGATTGAAGGACCATGTTGGAAATGATGTATTCTGTGCACTGCACTCCACATAGTCTTGTTCCCACATCACTGGTTTATGCCCCATGCTAGTGGAGAATCTCCAAGCAGGTGGGGGGAATCTCCATGCAAGTGTGGAAAATCACCAAGTGGGTTGGGAGAATCTCCAAGCAGGTATAGGGAATCTCCATCTAACTGTGGAGAAGTGACATTTAGCATAGACAATTGTATTTTTCCAAGTATTTTGAGTGTTTCTCATGCAAAATTTCACTTTCTGATAAAATAAGCATATGGTCATGATTGTACAATCAGGGGCTACAACTTTTATTATGGTGGCATCACTCCATTTACACTTCCTGGGGTGGTAATGCAGTACCAGTACTGGCTATAGTAGTTATTAGTGTCATGTAGTGTAGGCTATGCTTCACTTTGGTAGTGCACATTTTTGACTACCATTGACTATGAAAAGTGTAGCATTGAGTGGTAGTGGTCAAGTCACATGACAAAGGATCACATGATGCAAGGTCATGTGCAGCAATCACATGGCCAATTATGTAATGGTCATGTGCTCCAGTGTGGTCCAAATGCAGTGCTAGCCTGATCACATGATGGGCAGTCATGTGACTGTCACTGCTCATGGTCCCATGACCTGAGATCACATGACAGAGAGTCATGGAGCAGGATGGTTGTTCAGTCACATGACTAGATATCACATGACCAGTTGCCTCAGGTGGCCAGAGATGTGGGTCATGTGTAGGCATGAACCCATGTCATGTGACTGAAGTTACCTCATGTTTGACACTGTGAACCTGGCATGTGACTAAACTGTCCCTGAATGCATGCTGTTCCAGAGTGTGGCTGTGCTACAACATCAATCTTGTTATTACTCATTCATTCCTCAATGAAATGGTCTGTATTTCAGTAGGTGAACTGGTCCACATGGTATCTACATCATGTCCAAAGATCAACCAATCAACATCTCTGGTTTCTGGGTTATACAAGGATTGAAAAAAGCCAGAAAACATCACACCATGCATCCCTCACTGGGTGCATGCCATATTTAATACCTCAACCGGATTCCCCATGTCTACATCCATCTATCTCCAAAATTCCAGGGCAGTCCATTGGGAATTGAGTGAACAGGAAGCCAATTACACATCCCAGATGCGTGGGAAAACCCAAAAAAGCGCAAATAAAATAGTGGAGATTTCCAAAACATATCAAAGACATTTCATTGCTCACTCCCCAGTGGGGCTATGACTACCAGAATTGAGGTGTGACATGGTGGGGCATTCTCCATCAGATTGGCACCATGTGCCTTGCAGTTGCATCCCCTCAAAGTGACAGAAATACAACATGGTCCAATGGTACACTTTGCAATGCTCATCACAAAGCCATAAATCACTACTAGACTTGGTGTTTAGATGTGCCCATTTGCATTTCTGTCACTTTGAGGGGATGCAACTGCAAGGCACATGGTGCCAATCTGATGGAGAATGCCCCACCATGTCACACCTCAATTCTGGTAGTCATAGCCCCACTGGGGAGTGAGCAATGAAATGTCTTTGATATGTTTTGGAAATCTCCACTATTTTATTTGCGCTTTTTTGGGTTTTCCCACGCATCTGGGATGTGTAATTGGCTTCCTGTTCACTCAATTCCCAATGGACTGCCCTGGAATTTTGGAGATAGATGGATGTAGACATGGGGAATCCGGTTGAGGTATTAAATATGGCATGCACCCAGTGAGGGATGCATGGTGTGATGTTTTCTGGCTTTTTTCAATCCTTGTATAACCCAGAAACCAGAGATGTTGATTGGTTGATCTTTGGACATGATGTAGATACCATGTGGACCAGTTCACCTACTGAAATACAGACCATTTCATTGAGGAATGAATGAGTAATAACAAGATTGATGTTGTAGCACAGCCACACTCTGGAACAGCATGCATTCAGGGACAGTTTAGTCACATGCCAGGTTCACAGTGTCAAACATGAGGTAACTTCAGTCACATGACATGGGTTCATGCCTACACATGACCCACATCTCTGGCCACCTGAGGCAACTGGTCATGTGATATCTAGTCATGTGACTGAACAACCATCCTGCTCCATGACTCTCTGTCATGTGATCTCAGGTCATGGGACCATGAGCAGTGACAGTCACATGACTGCCCATCATGTGATCAGGCTAGCACTGCATTTGGACCACACTGGAGCACATGACCATTACATAATTGGCCATGTGATTGCTGCACATGACCTTGCATCATGTGATCCTTTGTCATGTGACTTGACCACTACCACTCAATGCTACACTTTTCATAGTCAATGGTAGTCAAAAATGTGCACTACCAAAGTGAAGCATAGCCTACACTACATGACACTAATAACTACTATAGCCAGTACTGGTACTGCATTACCACCCCAGGAAGTGTAAATGGAGTGATGCCACCATAATAAAAGTTGTAGCCCCTGATTGTACAATCATGACCATATGCTTATTTTATCAGAAAGTGAAATTTTGCATGAGAAACACTCAAAATACTTGGAAAAATACAATTGTCTATGCTAAATGTCACTTCTCCACAGTTAGATGGAGATTCCCTATACCTGCTTGGAGATTCTCCCAACCCACTTGGTGATTTTCCACACTTGCATGGAGATTCCCCCCACCTGCTTGGAGATTCTCCACTAGCATGGGGCATAAACCAGTGATGTGGGAACAAGACTATGTGGAGTGCAGTGCACAGAATACATCATTTCCAACATGGTCCTTCAATCTGGGAATTTTTGGAGTGCAACAAGGGTGCATGCCTCCTATGGTCATGCAAATGGTCTGATAGCATTTTGGCCTTGTGTTATGTGGAGGGTGTTGTGGGACATCTTGCCAGACAGGGGGATGGGATGTCCCAACTTAGCCTTAGAGGCTGCTGTGGGACATCCCAAGTCCCCTTATGAAAGTCAGTGGGATGTCCCATCCCAGCCTCAGGGGGCTATGATGGCACATCCTCCTAAGTTGCCTTTGCATACCAGCACAATGCCCCATGACAACCTCAGAGGCTCATCTGGGACATTCTGCCCTCTGCAGATGGTGTTGCAAAGGTGACCAAAACCATGTTCTATGTGGGGGACTTTGAGATATTGGCTTGTCACACAAGTGTTCAAAAACCATTTACTTCTTCCTTCATACAGTACAAATTGTATACTACTATGCATGGTGGGATGGGAGGGGATGTATAGGTTGAAGGATACTTTGTGGATTAAACCTGTCAGAGGAGCAAGGGGGCTAGGATTTCTGCAGCTATTTCAATGCTAATATAAGCTGCACTTTCAGGAGTAGGGACCCCTGCCACCCAAGGCAGTCTTGGGACATCCCAAATAATTGCATTTGAATGGATGGCTATGTGGGAAATCCCATCTGTCCCAGGGCCTAAAAATCTGCATAGCCCTGGGATATGACCAGATGTCCCTGGGCAGACCTTGGCCTGGGAGGCTATTAGGCTGGATGGTTTGGAGAAACTATTCAGCCTAAATGCTTATGAAAAATGGTTACCTGAAGTGGGTTATTAAACATTTCAATATGGAGACTGCTCAAAATGTTCACACTCCATTACCTTCAGGATATCAACCTGAAAAAGCTCCCACTGATTATCAAGTAACTTCCCAACTCTGCTCTCAGTACCAATCTATTATTGGGTCCTTGCTCTATACAGCCCTTGGTATACATCCAGACATTGCTTCTGTGGTTATTCACATGAGTCAATACATGGCAAATCCCACTGAGGATCATCACAATAAAGTGCTGCATATAGTTCACTATATTGCATCTACTCCAAAACTCATGCTTTACTATTCTGGACTTGAATCATGGATCTTCAGATTTGCTGATTCTGATTGGGCTGCAAATAAAGACACTCATCATTCAACTACTGGATATGCCATGTTCCTTGGCAGCTCCTTGATCTCTTGGCAATCTCAAAAACAGAAGACAATTGCACTTTCCTCTACTGAAGCCAAGTATATGGCTTTATGTGACACTGCTCATCAAATCAAATGGCTTCACATGCTGTTTGATGAACTCAGTTTAAAAACAAACAAGACCATACTTTACTGTGACAATATGGGTGCTCACTTTATTGCTGAGAATCCTGTCTCAGATGCATGTTCCAAACATATTGACATCCAGTGGCACTTTGTTTGTGAATGCATACAAGATGGTTTGTTTGGTATTGAATACATTCAAACTGACAAACAAAAGGCTGATGGTCTTACTAAATCCTTGACATGGCAGAAGTTCAAAACAAATTGCTCATCAATGGGACTTGTTACTCTCCCATTCTAGAGCAAGGGGGAGTGTTGGAAATAGTTATTAGTTCTGATCATCTAGACACTTCTAGATTTACATGTTGTGATATATGAGGCATATCACATGACATGCTCAGTCATACAACTCCACAATGATGTCACATAATACATCATATTCCATGACATTCTCCACTGTTCTACACTATACATGGTAGTAGTTTCCTTTTATGCTACTGGTCTGTATGTACATCTACATGTATATAAACTCAGGGTGTTTTCCCTTAGACCCTATTGTTCTACCTACAGAACAATCTACTCAGTTATTGAGCCCCTGCTCTAACTTCAGAACTACTTCTTCAAATCTACCAAGCCCAACTTAGTATTATCAGGCAAGTGCTCTGTCTGTGCTCTCATTCCCTTCCCATTCCTCTGCACAATACATTGTACCACAATATGTCCATTGTGGCAATTTGCCAGGGTGCCATTCATAACCCTCCAGGAAAATGGCAAGATGTGGGCTGTAAGGTGGACAATAGTGTAGGTATTACAGACAACTGCTCGAAGACTTCTCTGTCAAAAAACACTCAATCCAAGTCAGCTACAACATGCAAATATAGCAAGACAAGGCAAACTGTGATACAACAGGAGAACTAATGAAAGTACACAAAACATCAGGAACATATGCCAAATGAAAGCACAAGCTTCACTGCAGGACTTCTTGGCCCACCCACTCCTCATCTTTCCCCAGGTCAACTGATAGCATCCTTTCGGGCATCGTAGACACTAGAACCTCCCTGTCGCCTGAAGGGATCATGGATGTAATCTTCTCGAGAATCACATCACGAGCCATACTCAGACATCCAAAAACACTAATGTCCTTGTGGGTGTATGTTATCCATTGCAATCTAAGGAAGGCATTATATGCCACCTTAATTGCCATGCAAGTAAGCTTTTTTGCTCTCATGCCAGCTGTGAGTGAAAACAGGATCCCCAGTACATGTGTCAAGTCAATGATGTAAGCCATGAACTTTGTAGGGGCACCTTGTCTGAAAGGATCTGACTTGGTTGATGCTTGAAACATCATAAAAATGCCACGTACAGTCGCTGGTAAGATTCATAAACCCACTTGCCAATGGCATTTAATGGTAGGATTACGGGAGCTAGAGCCATAAGAGGTATGGGGCTCCTTAACATGCAATGATTCTCCTTGAGTCCGTTACACAGCCAGATCCCATAGCAGTACTTACCCAGATAATGCGTTGCTACGAGAGAGATTGGGATTTGACTTGGCCGGTGCATCGACCCTGTCAACCATGCTGATCATCACCTTACAGAATTCCTCACTATTCAAATACTACAACGGAGGTGTCAATTTGTCATGGTGGGGCTCACCAGCAAGGTAATTACACTCACTTGGCAAGGATCATAAAAGTTCCAGACCACCACAATGTCAGTGTGTATGACACAAAGGCAATTCTCCATCATGTAATCCCAGAAATTTGTGCTGGTATCCAGTACCCTCCAGTATCCTTGTAGAGAGATGAGTCATCAAATAACTTGTTTCAGGCTCTCATGACCTACTCTGCTTTCCTATGCTGTTTAACAAGTCAAAACACATGCACTGTCGCAATGATTGACACTTGTGTGATTGATAAGTCAACCTTCAATGTAGGCAACATTCGTTGTGCCCCTGCAGCTGCCAGAGGCACTGGTGATACTCGGTTCTCCGGGGAGGTGAACTCATAGATACCATGTCCTGAGTAAGGCTTATTAGGTCCTTAAGCCCCTGCTCATATCTGGCTTTCGCTGGTGGTCTCTGGGCTGAGCGGGAGAACGGAATCGAAGGAGTAACACCCACAGCTAACTGCAACATGTGCAATATTCTCTCCCGTAAACTCCTTGATTAGCTGGACACATTGCTCTTGCAGATATCGTTGCCCTGCTTCAAGATCGTTTGGCATTCTCTGCCGCATGAAACTCACAAGCCGGTCATGTTTCGTGAATACGACTATTGTCAGCGCTGAATGCGGTTGGTATACTGGAGATTAAACAACAATATAATTGCTCACTATTCCCTAGGACTTCCTTCCTTTCTTTCAAGAGCGCCTCTTCAGCGTCTTCCACAAATCGTTCACCGTACGTCGGGATGGGTATCTGAAAACACAACCTATCATATAGACCCTTCCGTCAAAACCTTCAACGTGGCTGTCTCAGAACTACGTGCCAGACCGCGTGAAGCCGATTTTTGATATCAGGTTCTTTCTTCCTCTCTACTATGAATGACTTCACGGTTTCAAAGTTGCCAGCATCGCCCGCCTCAAAACCTTTGCTATCATGCAAAATGAGCCGGTCGTTCTCTGGCGAAGTGAATTCCTGTTCAATGTCTGCCTCCCCTGGTTTATCCTTTTCTACAATCTACGGACGTCATCAATGCCGGGTAGGGACACAGAATTTGAACCACTCAACCGCAGTGTTCACACCGAAGATTCGATTGATCAAAGTGGATTTTCCAGCACCTGACTGTAAGGATGTTAGAACCTAGGCGAGTGGCGGCGTGCAAGTCCAAGTTACCTTTCTAACTGCCAAGACTCGGAAACTATTACACGGCAATAAGTGAGACACTGGCAAGTGTGAAGTTGAGACTCACTGAGGACACTGTTCAATGAGCTCTTCAGTGGTTGGTCGTAGACTATCGCGATTCGCAGGTGCAAGTGTGTTGGCAGCTACACCTGTACCTGCGTTGCCGACTGCAATATCCTGCAAGCCCTATATGTCAGGACTCGTCTCATAGCGCTCGATTCTTCGCTTACGGTTGGTACGCTTCGCACTACGACCGACTGCTCGGCATTTGGATGCAGACTCTCGGCATCTGCAGGGGAAGATGGGTTCGGGTTCGGAACTCTATTCTGCAGGCCCTCTGTCAGGACTCATTCAGTGGCATCTGTTATTTACGTACGACTATTGGGGCTTGGGATGCGAATCCGAGGGTGATGAGTAGCTCGCCCCATTTCTGCTGAACACTGCGAGGGTCTCAGGATCGAAGGAAAGATGTACACGGTAGAATATACCATGTCCTTCCAATCTGGAGTGAACATCGTCCGATCCGAACGTGACGGTTTCAACAGGCGGCTGGCGCCGGAAACGGTGGCGCGACTTCTTTCAGCGTACGGAAATGGAAGGCTGCCCCGCAGTGAACGTTCTACGGTGGGTCAGTCAAGGGCTTGATGACGTGCAGTTTAAACGAGACTGACAATGGTTCATCGAGGTCCTTGCGAAATGCGCCACTCTGCTGTTGGCTTCGAGGTATAGGGTATACCATGTCATCGACGACGAGCTCTACGGATTCGACATCTTCCGCGTCTTCCAACGCGATATCCGCCCAAAAAGTTAGTCCAGTAAATGCTTTAACAGCAATCTCAAAGCCATACAGGATAACTGTAGAGGCAAAGACATGGCTCGAGATAGTGCGCGTCTAGGAAGCTGCTGTGCGTTTATATGCCGAAATTCACAGGTGGCCGTGCTACTCTACATCTGGGAAACAGCTACGCGACGCGGCTGTTAACAGCTCTTCCGCACTTGAGCGAGCTCTCTCATTGGCCAACAAGTGTCTTAGCGAGTCTTACGACAAGTCACTTCCAAACGGAGGCAGGTATAACCTGCTCACTCCCTCGGGTAGTTTTGCAGATGTAAATGGGAATCAATTTAGACCAGATGTCATGATCGCCATGAACCAGGCTTACTCGATGGACAACTCGACCTTCAATGTTGGTAACATTCGTTGCGCCCCCACAGCCGCCAAATGCACTGGCGATACTGCATTCCCCGGGGAGGCGAAATTCTTAGATACCTTTTCCTGAGTGAGGTTTATCAGCTCCTCGAGCCCTCTCTCGCACTTGTGTTTCGCTAGTGATGTCTGAGCTGAATGGTAGCAGGGAGTTGATGAAATGATACCCACAGCTAGCCGCAACATGCGAGATGTTTGTGCTTCCTGTGAAGTCTTGAATCGGCTCCATGCGATACGTTTGCAAATATCGTTTTGCCTCCGCCTCAGGGTCTGTTGACTTCTTCTTTCGCACGAAACTCACAACTCTGTCGTACTTGGTAAATACCACTGTGGTCGGGACTAGCAGTAGTCGAAAAACAAGAGATGCGAAGAGAATGGTTTTGCTCACTGTTCCCTAAGGCTTCCTTCGCTTCTCTAAGGAACGCTTCCACACCGTCCTCCAGCAGCCGTCCGTATTTTAGAATTGGTACCTAGAACATAACCTATCGTGCACATCAGCTCTCGAAACCTTCAAATGTCTACCTCAGAAGGACGTACCAGACCACATGAAGCTGATCTTTGACATCTGGCATCTTCTTCCTCTCTTCTATGAATGACTTCACGACGTCATAGTTGCTGCCTTCGGCTGGTTCGAAACCTCGGCTGCCGTGCAAGATGAATCTGTTGTTCTCCTGTGAAATGAGTTCTTTCTCGATAGCTGCTTGCCCTGGTCGATCTTTTGCGACGTGCTATAGAGTTCGTTAATGCAAGGTAAGAATGAAAACCTTCAATCACTCAACCGCAACTTCCAGACCGAATATTCGATTGATCAGAGTCGACTTCCCTACACCTGACTACAAGGATACCTTTATTGGGATCTTCTCGAGTGACGAGTGCAAGCCGAGATTACCTTTCCAACTACAAAGACTCGAAAGCTATTGCACATAGATGAATCAACTGTCCAAACATGGGGATTTGGTACTCACCGAGGACAAATGTCGATCAGTTCCTTAGTGGTTGGCTGTAAACCTTCGGAATTTGACAGTCCAGATGTGCCTGTACTGCCGACTGTAACATCCTCCAAGCCCTCCATATCAGGACTCGTCTCGCAGTGCTTGATTCTTCACTTACGGTTGGTACGCTTCGCACTGCGACCGACTGCTCGGCATTTGGTTGCAGACTCTCGGTATCTGCGGGGGAAGATGGGTTTGGGTTCGGAACTCTACTCTGCAGGCCCTCTGTCAAGACCCATTCAGTGGCATCTATTATTTGCGTACGGCTATTTGGGTTTGGGATGCGAATCCGAGGGTGACGAGTAACTCGCCCCATTTCTGCTGAAACACTGCAAGGGTCTCAGATCTCAGGAGTCGAAGGAAAGATTTGCACGGTGGAATATACCATGTCCTTCCAATCTGGAGAGAACATCGCCCGAACCGATCGTGAAGGTTTCAACAGGCGGCTGATGCCGGAAACGGAGACGCGACTTCTTTCGGCGTACGGAAACGGAGAGCTGCCCCGGGGCGAACGTTCTACGGTGGGTTAGTCAAGGGCTTGACTCAGACAGGCAGTTTGAACGAGACTGACAAAGGTTCATCTATGTCTTTGCGAAAAGCGTCACTCCGCTGTTGGCTTCGAGGTACAAGGTACACCATGTTATTGACGACGAGCTCTACGGATTTGATATCTTTTTAGTACATCTTCCAACGCGATATCTGCCCACAAAGTTAGTCCAGTAAAGATGTTAACAACAATCTTAAAGACATACAAAATAACTGTAAAGGCAGAGACATGGTTCGAGATGGTGAGCGACTAGGAAGCTGTTGTGCGTTTACATGCTGTCGTCAGGCGCCCAAGAAGTACTGTTGGCAGGTTGTTGGCCGTCACGCTGCAGGTGGCCCGCTTCACCCTTCTTTCCAACACCAGCCATACTTCACTGGCACAACGACATGAAACCCCACAGCCCCACCCTCCAATTGACTGGAACGAAGCTCCCATAATCCATTTACATTTACGGGTAGTCTTGACCCGGACGTTATCACTGTGGGTCACCCCTGAGAATCCTAAAGGGGGACTGTAACGTCTGGTTCGAGATCATGATCACGGAGGAATCTGACGCTCAGCACAGCCAGAATTGACCTTCGGAAATCAACTCCTGTCAGAGGTACATTCAAGGTACAGTTGAGGTACAGCCGCTGCTCCACGATGTACGATGAGTCTGCAACCACCACCGTCGAGAGCGCCCGACTTCGCCCTCATGCAGAACAGAATTTTTCGAATACATGCCAATCCGTTTACTTGTCCTAAGCTACCTCAACCTGCCAATCCTAGTATAGGCTGTGTCAGTGGCCCATCTGATGCGTCCCTTGCAGTACTCTGTTCGTAAACCTCCAGGAATGCAGGCGAGAGGTGCATTATAATGTGGGCAATGTGTTGTAAACGGGTGACGTGTGGGCACCTCCGGATCGGTTTGACACCGACGCTCTCAACTGCCCGAGGACTTCTCGCATCAGGAAAATTTTGATCCAAATCAGCTACAACGTGCAAATACAGTGAGATACGGCAGGAGTAGCGTTAGTACCGCGATACAACAGGAAAGCTAGTAAAAGTATGCAAAACGTCCGGAAAAGATGCTGAATGAAAGCACAGGCTTCACCGAGAGGCTTCTTCGCTCGTCCACTCTTCATCTCTCTCCAAGTCAACCGATGGCATCCTTTCGAGCGCCCTAGAAACTTGAACCTCCCTGCCGTCTGAAGTGATCATGGTCGTAATCTTCTCGAGAACTACGTCACGAGCCGCAGTCCAACATTGGAAATTCCTAATTTCCACGTGGGTGTACATTACCCATTGCGATTCAAGGTAGGCTTTGTATGCCATCTTAACCGCCATACGAGTAAGCTTCTTTGCTCTTATCCCAGCCGTGAGTGAAAACAGTATTTCCAGTACGTGTGTCAAATCAACGATGTAAGCCATGAACTTTGTGGGAACGTCTTGTCTGAGAGGTCACTGAGTCATCTGATGCTGAAAGCATCACAAAAGTGCCACGCACAGTCGCTGGTACGTTGCAAGAACCCACTTGCCAAGGCCGAGGAAAGCATTTAATGGCAGCATTACAGGAGCTAGAGCGATGAGAGGGACCCCCCTTGATGTACAGCGACTCGTTTGAGCTTGTTGCACAGCGGGTTCCAACAACGACACATACCCGGTTAATGAGTCGGTGCGAGCGAGGGAATTTGGCTCGGCTGGTGCATCGACTCTCTCAACCATGTTCATCATCACCTTTCGGAATTCCTCACTATTCAAGTACTACAAGGGAGATGTCAGTACATTGTAGTAAGGCTCGCTGCTAGGGCAACAATGCTAACTTGATAAGGGTCATAAAAGTTCCAGACCGCCACGATGTCATTGTGTATGACACGAAGGCAGTCCTGTATTGTATGACCAGGGAAATTTGCGCTGGTACCCAGCGCACTCCAGTATTCTTGGAAAAAGGTCAGCCTCTAATGAAGTGTTGCATACATCCAGACTTACTTTGCTTTCCTACGCTGCTTAACAAGTCAAAATACATGCACTGTCGCAATGATTGACACTTACGCGATTGATAAGTCAACCTTCAATGTAGGCAACATTCGTTGTGCCCCTGCAGCTGCCAGAGGCACTGGCGATACTCGGTTCTCCGCGGAGGTGAAGCTCATAGACACCATGTCCTGAGTAAGGCTTATTAGGTCCTTAAGTCCCTGTTCATATTTGGCTTTCGCTGGTGGTCTCTGGGCTAAGTGGGAGAACAGAATCGAAGGAGTGCCACCCACAGCTAACTGCAACATGTGCAATATTCTCTCCCGTAAACTCCTTGATTAGCTGGACGCATTCCTCTTGCAGATATCGTTTCCCTGCTTCAGGATCGTTTGGCATTCTCTGCCGCATGAAAGTCACGAGCCGGTCATGTTTCGTGAATACGACTATCGTCGGCGCTGAATGCAGTTGGTATACTGGAGATTAAACAACAATATAATTGCTCACTATTCCCTAGGACTTCCTTCCTTATTTTCAAAAACGCTTCTGCAGCGTCCTCCAAAAGTCGTTCACCGTGCGTTGGAATGGGTATTTGAAAACACAGCCTATCATATAGACCCTTCCGTCAAAACCTTCAACGTGGCTGTCTCAGAACTACGTACCAGACCGCGTGAAGCTGATTTTTGATATCGGGTTCTTTCTTCCTCTTTACTATGAATGACTTCACGGTTTCAAAGTTGCCAGCATCGCCCGCCTCAAAACCTTTGCTATCATGCAAAATGAGCCGGTCGTTCTCTGGCGAAGTGAATTCCTGTTCAATGTCTGCCTCCCCTGGTTTATCCTTTTCTACACTCTATGGACGTCATCAATGCCGGGTAGGGACACAGAATTTGAACCACTCAACCGCAGTGTTCACACCGAAGATTCGATTGATCAAAGTGGATTTTCCAACGCCTGACTGTAAGGATGTTAGAACCTAGGCGAGTGGCAGCATGCAAGTTCAAGTTACCTTTCCAACTACCAAAACTCGGAAACTGTTACATAGCGATAAGTGAGACACTGACAAGTGTGAAATCAAGACTCACCGAGGACACTGCTGAATGAGATCTTCAGTGGTTGGTCGTAGATCTTTGCGATTGGGAGGTGCAAGTGTGTTGGAAGGTGCAGGTATGTCGGCAGCTACACGTGTACCTGCATTCAGAGCTTTTGTCTGCTAGTTGCCATCTATCAGCACTTGTCCAGTACCGCCCGCTTCCCACTTACAGCCGATGTGGAACGACCAGCGATTGGTTGCTCAGTGGTCGATTGTGAAGGCACAGGGTTTGCGGGTACACTCGGAGCCGTAACCTGTAAACCTTCCGTCAGCACTCATCGTGTAACGCCTGTTTTTTTTGCGCACGCCTGACTGGGTCTGGGGCAGAAAGCGGAGCTTGATGGATATTTTGTCCCATACGTGCTGAAACTCTGTGCAAATTTGAGGAGCCTAAAGAACGATGCATAGGCTGGAGTTTACCTTGCCTATCTAACTTGGACTGAACATGATCAGGGCGAATTGTTACGGTTTCTGGATCCGTTTCGCTACAGCAAGAGAACCACGACCTCTTTCGGCTTACAGAAAGAGAGAGCGGCTCTGTATCCAATGTCCTATCGTGGATCAGCCGTGAGCCTGAGAGGTGGGATTGACGTAGCTGAAAGTGTACTGACAATGGCTTATCAAAAGCTTTCGAAAAAGTGTCGCTCTTCTCTTGACTTCGAGCAAGGGAGTATTCACCGCCATTGAGTTGGAATTTGACAGATTCTATGCCCTGTGCATTCTGCAACTCGATGTCTGCCCACAGGTGTTTCGGGAAGTTAGTCCCCAGGAATTAGTAGTTGACAGTCTCAGGTCATACAGGAGAGTTTCAGCGGCGAAGCCATCATACAGGGCCGTGGGGTGACTGCAGGAAGAGCAAGGGGTCAGCGCAAGTCGCACAGCGCCTTCGGGCGCCTGAGTCTTACTGTGTACAATGCTGCAGAGAACACGCGATGGCCTCATGTCCTTTTTCGCTCTGTTCGGTTACCGGCCAAGCAAGCGCCATCCTTCAAGGTTCCTTCCTGCTTCCCACTCTTATCGAGGAAAGCTACTAGAAAAGTTAGCTCATTGTAAGTAACTTGCTGGTCGGAGATCTTCAGGTAGCACAGAGGCAGACGTGTACTGGATCATCTCATTCACGTATCTGCACTGTCCGTTTTATGTAACTGGTCTTCGTCGTACTACAAGAACACTAAGGACAACTCGACACTAGGCGTCCAAAGCTGACCTCACAACAGAAGAACGGTGTGTCTAAAACGCGCGGTATTCATGCGTTCGTGAGGTACCAGTGGACCATGACTATGACGCTGCATCTGTAACATTAATAAAACTGCCGATTGCGCGACTTTTGTAGTACTGCTCCTGCGCAACTTTTTATACTACCCCTGCATAATTTTTAACACAGCCACTTTGCACCAGTGACTTTGCACTTACCAAGTCCAGCAAGTTCGCGGCGCACTCAAACGTCAGACGAAGACTTTCTTGCCAGACGGGGTTGAACCCGTTATTCTTCACGGAGCTCGTTCGAGCAGTAATGGCGCGGGTCGTGCCCGAACCACTCGGTCCCGATGAAACCGATGGAGACGACGAGCCTGAAGACGGCGACGAAGAGGAAAAGAAATGTGCCCAGTCTGGAGTGCATATCGAGACTTCCACATAGGGATCTACGATGTTCCGGTCGATTACCTCACGACCCATGGAGTCTTTCGGACAAGGGAGTAGTTGTGCTGAAAAGATCTACACCAAGTACAGGCGCTAAGCATGGTAACAACTCCACATAGATAAGAGAGTACTCACAGTAACGTCCAGGTAATGCACAGTCCGGAGAGCCAGTGCCCCCTTGTCAGGCAGACGAGCAGTCAAAATTGACCTTCGGAAATCAACTCCTTCCGCAGGTACATTCAAAACACAGTGCTCCACGTTGTACGACGAGTCCGCAACCACCACCGTCGAGAGCGCCGGGCTTCGCCTTCATATAGAATAGAAATTTTCGAATACATGCCAATCCGTTTACTTATCCTAAGTTAGCTCAACTTGCCAATCCCAGCACAGGCTGTGCCAGTGGCCCATCTGATGCATCCCTTGCAGGGCTCTTGTTCGTAAACTTCCAGGAATGCAGGCAGGAAGTTGGCACCTCCGGATCGGTTTGACACCGACGCTCAACTGCCCAAGGACTTGTCTATCAGGAAACACTTGCTTCAAATCGGCTACGTGCAAATACAGCAGGATACAACGGAAGTAGCATCAGTAGCGCGATACGGCAGGAAGACTAGTGAAAGAACGCAAAACGTCAGGAAAAGATACTAAAGGAAAGCGCAGGCTTCATCGAGAGACTTCTTCGCTCGTCCACTCTTCATCTCTTTCCAGGTTAACCGACGGCTTGCTTTGGAGCGCCCGAGAAACTCGATCTTCCCTGTCGCCTGAAGGGATCATGGATGTGATCTTGTCGAGGACATCGTCACGATCCTTAGCCGAACATCGGAAATACCTAATGTCCGTGTGGGTGTGCGTCATCCATTCCGATTCAAGGTAGGCTTTATATGCAATCTTAATCGCCGTGCGAGTAAGCTTCTTTGCCCTCATCTCAGCTGTGAGTGCAAACAGTATTTCCAGTACGTGCGTCAAATCAACAATGTAAGCCATGAACTTTGTGGGAACGCCTTGTCTGAAAGGTCGGGAGTCATCTGATGCCGAGAGCATCACAAAAGTGCCACTTACAGTCCCTGGTATGCTGCAAAAACCCACTTGCCAAGGGTAAGGAAAGCATTTAATGGCAGCATTACAGGAGCTAGAGCGATGAGAGGGACTCCCCTAGAGGTGCAGCGAGTCTTTTGAGTTTGTCGCATAGCGGTTCGAACAACAAGACTTACCCGGCTAATGTGTCAGTATCAATCCGGGAGGGGGAGGCCGGTGGATCAACTCTCTCAACCATGTTCATCATCACCTTTCGGAATTCCTCACTATTCAGGTACTACAAGGGAAACGTCAGTACATCATAGCAACGCTCGCCGCTAGGGCGAGAATGCTCACTTGGCAAGGATCATAAAAATTCCAGACCGCCACGATGTCATTGTGTATGACACGAAGGCAATCCTGCATTGTGTAACCCGGAAAGTTTGCGCTGGCACCCATTACCCTCCAGTATCCTTGTAAAAAGATGAGCTTCAAATTAAATGTTTCATATACCCGCACCCACTCTGCCTTCCTACGCTATTTGACAAGCAAGTCAATATATATGCGGCTATCGCGATGGCTGAAACCTACGCAATTGATAACTCAACCTTCAATATAGGCAACATTCGTTGTGCCCCTGCAGCTGCCAGAGGCACTGGCGATACTTCATTCCCCGGGGAGGTGAAACTCATAGATACCATGTCCTGAGTGAGGCTTATTAGGTCCCTAAGCTCGTGCTCATATCTGGGTTTCGCTGGTCGTCTCTGGGCTGAGTGGTTAAAACGGAATCGAAGGAGTAACGCCCACAGCTAACTGCAACATGTGCAATATTCTCTCCAGTAAAGTCTTTGATTTGCTGGACGCATTCCTCTTGCAGATATCGTTGTCCTGCTTCAGGATCGTTTGGCATTCTCTGCCGCATGAACATCACGAGCCGGTCATGTTTCGTGAATACGACTATCGTCGGCGCTGAATGCGGTTGGTATGCCGCAGATGAAACAACAGTATAATTGCTCACTATTCCCTAGGACTTCCTTCCTTATTTTCAAAAACGCTTCTGCAGCGTCCTCCAAAAGTCGTTCACCGTACGTTGGAATGGGTATCTGAAAACACAACCTATCATATAGACTCTTCCGTCAAAACCTTCAACGTGGCTGTCTCAGAACTACGTACCAGACCGCATGAAGCTGATCTTTGATTTTGGGTTCTTTCTTCCTCTTTACTATGAATGACTTCACGGTGTCATAGTTGCCAGCATCGCCTGCCTCAAAACCTTTGCTATCATGCAAAATGAGCCGGTCGTTCTCTGGCGAAGTGAATTCCTGTTCAATGTCTGCTTCCCCTGGTTTATCCTTTGCTACATTCTATGGCCATCATCAACGCCAGGTAGGGACACAGAATCTGAACCACTCAACCGCAGTGCTCACGCCGAAGATTCGATTGATCAAAGTGGATTTTCCAACACCTGACTGTAAGAATGTTAGAACCTACGCAAGTGACAACAAGCGAATTCAAGTTACCTTTCCAACTACCAAGACTCGGAAACTATCACATGGCGATAAGTGAGACACTGACAAGTGTGAAGTTGACTCACCGAGGACACTCCCGAATGAGGTCTTCAGTGGTTGGCCGTAGACCCTCGCGATTGGCAGGTGCAAGTGTGCCTGCAGTTGGAGATATGTCGGCAGTTGGAGGCGAGTGGACAGGTACAGGTGTACCAGTACTCCGAACTGTGTCCTGCTAGTTGCCATCTATCAGCACTCGTCCGGTATCACCTGCTTCCCACGTACGGCTGGAGTAGAATGAGTAACGACTGATTGCGCAGTGATTGGTTGTGGAGCCCCGGACTTTGCAGGCACAGTCGGAGGCGTAACCTGTAGATCCATAGTCAACACTCATCGTGTAACAACTGGTACTTGCATACACCTGACTGAGCTTGGGGCAGGAAGCGGAGCTTGATGGATACTTTGCCCCGTGCGTGAAGAGACTCTGTGCAAATTTGAGGACCCCACTTAGGAACTATATATAATCCGGAGCTCACCTTCTCCATCTAACTTGGACCGGACCTCATCGGAGCGAAGTTCGATGGTTTCTGGCACAGTTTCGCCAAAGCATGAGCACCACCTCTTTCGGCTTACAGAGAGAGAAAGCGGCCCTGTTCCCAATGTCCTATCATGGGTCAGTCGTGAACCTGAGAGGTGGCATTGAGAAAAGATACTAACAATGGCTTATCAAAAGCCTTCGAAAAAGTGTCCCTCTTCTCCTGACTTTTAGCGATGGAGTACTTAACGCTATTGAGGTGGAGTTCGACGGATTCTACGCCTTGCGCGTTCTGCAACTCGATATCTGCCCACAGGGGTGTCGTGAAGTCAGCCTCCAGGAATCGGTAGCTGATACTCTCAAATCGTACAGGATAGTATCAGAGGCGAGGCCATCCTAGAGGACCGTGGGGCGACTACAGGAAGGGCGAAGGAGTTAGTGCAAGTCGCACGGCGCCTTCAAGCACCTGAGCCTTGCTGCTGAGATCACGCGGCGGCCTCATGTTCTTTCTTCGAAAGCGCCCTGTTCGGTTACCGGCCCAGCAAGCACCGCCCTTCAAGATTCCCTCCTGCTTCCCACTCTTATCCGGGAAACCTATTAGAAAAGTCAGGTCATTGTAAGTAACTTACTGGCTGGTGTGTGTTGCAATGATCATCTCATTCACATAAATATTTGTGCTGTCCGTTTCACTGCGGCCTTTCGCGTGACTGCTATGATTTGGTTCTACTCTATATATACTCCTGCGCTAAAAGTACACTTGTACATGGGATATGAGGCTAATAGATGGGTATGCACGCCAGGATCAGCCGGTATGATCGAAATGGTTGTTTGCAGTGAAATATGAACGATGGGAAAAAAAATACGTCGACATCGAAGTTTAGTTTAGTTGAATGCTTGTGAAGTTGTGACGGACGATCCGTGATGAGCGTGGATGGGTATAAGTCGAAGATTCAAGCATCCTGCAATGAACACTTCACGAACAACGTCGAGAACAGATACTGGCAGAGTTGAGAATCGTGTAGAGGTAGGTGCCTGTACCCTGTCAACAACAACAGCACACAAAAAAATCAGCTATCCCGTCGTACAACGGAAGACTAAAGAACTAGTTGGAAGAAGATGAAGTCGCACTTACCCATAGCCAGACTTGCCAAGTTGACACAGTACACCGCAATAGGTTCACTGTCATTTTCTCCGTCCCTCAGGACCGTAAACCGCACAAACACCAAGTCCAGCAAGTTCGCGGCGCACTCAAACGTCAGACGAAGACTCTCTTGCCAGACGGGGTTGAACCCGTTGTTCTTCACGGAGCTCGTTCGTGCAGTAATGGCGCGGGTCGTGCCCGAACCACTCGCTCCCGATGAAATTGATGGAGACGACGAGCCTGAAGACGGGGATGATGAAGAGAAATGTGCCCAGTCTGGAGTGTATATCGAGACTTCCACATAGGGATCTACGATATTCCGGTCGATTACCTCACGACCCATGGAGTCTTTCGGACGAGGGAGTAGTTGTGCTGAAATGATCTACACCAAGTACAGGTGCTAAGCATGGTAACAACTCCACATAGAGAAGAGAGTATTCACAGTAACGTCCAGGTAATGCACAGTCCGGAGAGCCAGTGCTCCCTTGTCAGGCTGACGAAGCGCTTCTGGTTTGAGAATATACCCAGCTCTTCCATTGCGCTGGAACATTGCATGGTTGATCATATATCCCAAGTCTTTCCAGAGGGCCAATCAACATAAAAAACTAAGAGGCGATAGGGAACGCCAACATACCAAATGTCTGCAAGTTGAGCGCGACGAGTTGCGCACCAGCCGCCCAATACCGATGCGGGAGGTAATTCGTGGAACTAAGCCGTAAGCCTTTGGGATATATCCTGACGAGATGGTCTTTGTTATGCTTGATCAAATCCACCATGCCTTGTTTCATAATCTTGTTGGCGGTGGTTTCAGAGAGGGAGAACATATGCTCCGGAGCATAATGTTCTTTCTTATTGATACCTCTACACTTCACACCGACGGTGTACACCAGTAAAGCGACGAGGGCGGCAGACATCTTCACTTTTGTGCCTTGTTTGTCGGACTTCACCGGCTGCTCGGCAATCGCTGTCGATGTTGCTGTTGCTGCGCCCACAAGGGCAGTGGTAACAGACTTCTCCGGTACTTGGTGATGCCCACGAACACGGTTGAAGACGTTGCGTGCTTTGCGGAATTCTTCCTTCAGCTCTGGCATGTGGCCTTCAGCTACGCTTATCAGGTAAACTACGGACAGATTAACGCACCTTTGATGGCCTCGATATTCTGCGTCTTGGCCCTGCGCAGTTCCTCTTTAACTTCGTGGCCGATGTCCAAGTCCGAAGCTGACGTCTCTGTAGAAGACGACTCCGTATCGACTACTACATCCTTCGTACGAATCCGCTCTCGTTCCGAAACGTAGAGATTCTTCGCCTGGAACAGAAAGCACAACCCGTCATGATGAGATCACACCCGCAGCTTTCATACACACCTTCAGTAATACTCTTCCCTTCAACTCTTCGGGACTCGGAAGCTTATCGATCTTCGGATGCTCCCCTACAGGAGCACTGACCAAAGCCTCTCGAAATACTTCATGCATGATCGCGACAAGCATATTTTGCTGGGCAACGGAGCAGTGTATCTCAGCAGAGATGATGATCGGGTAAGGTGATGTCACGAATGCGTATTTCGATATTGCTTCGCAGACCTCTCGGACGGGCACTTTCGACGTTAAAGTTTTGCCGTGGAAAACCATTGGTTCGTTGTCACCGTCAAAGATATCCACTGAGAGGACATCAGAAAACGTGATAAGACAAATGATGGATGCACTTACGCTCAACACTTCGACAGCCATGAAGAAGAGCGCGGATGTATCCCTCAATTGTGCTGTCCCCTACAAGCTGGTGACCGACGAGATACGTATTGTGAGAGGAAGAGATAAAGTAATGGCAGAGTGGTTGAGTCATATCCTGGTATATTTTTCCATGTTGGTCCGTGAATGCAGAGTTGTCAGAGGATAGCAGAAAGGCGGTAAACGCATCGAGAGACATGACTACATCACCACAGCCGTCCGACGGCGACGACGGTAGTGAAGGTGAACCGGGTATAGTCCCAGCCTTCGACTCGTATTTCTTAGCGTAGCGCAAGAATATCGATCGCAGCTCCTCCTGGGTGAGAGAAGACTGCAGGCGATATCAGCCGACGCATGCTTAGGATCATGCGGCACGGGACATGCCTTTTGACAGTTCCGCATAAAGGCCTCGAAAACTGTGAGCGTGAACCTTCCGCCGTTTTTCGAAGACAGCTTCTTGTAGAGGAGATCGAGCTCTGGTCGCGCTTTGAGGAGCTTGACAAACTTCTGAAAATCGATGAAGTCAAGAAAGCCGTTGCGTTTTGAATCCGCTTGCTTTAAGGGTATCAATGGTGTTGTCTATTGTAGAAATAAAAAGTTCAGCCCACCTTGAACAAGCGCTTCAAATCATCTTGGGAAGAGTTTATATTGAGGCGCTTGCAAAGTCTTTCGACTTCATCGAAGGACAGTTTCTGATCGTTTTGATGCTCGGTCGATTTCCAACACTGCCTCACCCATACAGCATGTCGCATCTCCTCGTTTCCTAGACCGATCATTAATTCTTGACGAATTGCGTGTAGTTTCCGTAACGTAATATCCCACAGCTGGAAGCTATCTTTTGAAGAAGCAATCAAGTGAAGTGTCTTGTATTGGCCATCGAGGATGTAGATGATGGTTATCCATCTATCCTCGTACTCGCGAGCGAGTTGAAACTGTTGACGATAGTATCTTGCGTCCGAGCCAAATCGAAGTTCCTTTATGTTCTCGATAGGTACTACACGTGTGGTTGCATAGCATCGCACGCGCAAGTCAGAAATAGACGATTGCAGGTTAGGAGCAGGACCACACGCACTGATCCTCAACTTCTTAGATTCCCAGATAATCTGACCCTGATCTGCGTCAAGTCGAAAGATGTAGCTCCTTTGTGATCCGGGGGAAACCTTCGTCATGGGAACCCCGTGTTGTAGGAGTTCTGGGACAGGCACATCGGCCATGGATGCCTTGCGTACAATTGTCTGGAATGGTTGCTGTTGAACTAATGGTTGGGGATTTGCGACGGTATCCAAAGAGATTGGAGAAGAAGTTTGAGTGGGTTCGGGGTACTCGGCCAAGCTATAAATGTTGGAGGTATGGGGAAGTGACTCTGACAGAGCTCTGCCGTGCCGCTTCCTAATCTGGGTATTATTAGAGGGGCTACGCAATGAGATGGCGCGGACGACAGGTCCAGCTCTGACTTTGGAGAGTCGATTTGAAAGAGAACGACGGATGCCGCTGTCAGTAGAGTCGCGCCTGGGAAGATCCAGGAGTGGTGGTATCGCGCTGTGGGTTGAAGGCGTCTTGAAATGCTCGAACGGGTTTGCCCTGAGTCGTCAAGAGCCCTGCCGCCCGTCGTAGGATCTGCGTTGGGGAAGGACTTTGTTTCTGCTGTTCGTGTCGCTCCATGACAGGAAGGGAAGACGCCGGCAGCATCAAAGAGAGTATTTAACCGACGAATGAAGCACCCTCAGCAACTAACCGCGCCTCGTGTGTAAGCAGTGCTCCGATACAGCAAGCACCCCGGGCGCTGTCGACGGCGTCTCGAATAACACTGTCGTGGCCAGCAGTGGTATCCTTGTTGAGAGGGTGGCTTTGAGGCCACCGCTGCGAGCTTTATGGCGGCACCAGGGGTAACCGAGTGCCGGGCCACATCACTGTGACTCCGGGTCCTCTCCTCAGGATTACAGCGACGTGCGTGGGAATGCAGGTGTATAGACTGACCATCAGCATCACACACCCGAACACAAAATCCCTCGTTCAGACCGAAGTGCAGCGAAAGGCACTGCGCCATCGAAACGACCTGCAGCCGAAACGACCTGCAGCCGAAACCCAACGTTTGATGCGTTTGATATCCACGTGTGGTTCTCAAGGTCGGTTCACTGCCATTCCATTCTCAAACTGTGCGCACCACAGGTCTGTTTCTGTGTCTCCACCAGGACCTCCGTCAGTTCACATTCAATTGAGTCCCGGCCCTCCTACACCGCCTTCACGTCTCGGTTGTGATTTCTCTTTTTCGGTGCGCGCAACGAGGGCAGCCTCGTGGCTTCAAGGCCATCCTTTGTCTCCGATGATGGATCTGAAAGGATTGAAAGATTGGTGGGACTCTCGTCTTTCAATCCTTTCAGAGCCTTTCAACCTCGGCCAATATATAAAGCAAATGCCACGGTACGTCCTTATCTCTCCATTGTCTTCTGAAAGTCGTACTCAACAAACGAAACGCTATGCCTAACTTTTTCAACCCGCTCCACCAACCTGTCCCGCCGACCTTCCAATCTCAAGACAGCGCTCTCTCGGACGCATGTCCGACACTTGTCCCGCCTTTCCCAACGAACCTTCCTTATCCCTCATTCGTAAGACTCCCACAGTCACCGCCACAGAAGATCACTGCCGTGCAACCGCGCGCGTTCCCTGCTCCACCGATCAGTGTTTGAACTGATTGGGGCACCGAGTCGAGGGATGGGTGTCCCCATGCGGGAGCTGGTCGTTAGATCAGGCTGTGCGCTCGAAAGAATGCTTGTAGGTGCTGCTGAGCATGTTGGGGCAACGATGGGCAAGGCCTTGCGCGTGGTTAGGATCAGGACTCGTCATTTCGGTATGTCTGAATGCTTGTAGGCTTTCCACGTCCACGATTTAACGGATGATTAGTGGCCGGGGTACGAACACGTCGACTGGAGCTCTTCTATCGAACTGTTTACCTCTTCTGGTCCGCTGACGCGCGGACAGCTCGCCGTAGAAATATCCAATGCATTTCATAGCTTCATCATGGTCAGTGCATCATCTATTCCCCACTTCTTCTCTTCGAGTACACCCTCTCATGTTTACACACATACTAACCAATCTCCCACAGAAATCATCCACATATCCTCCCTCTCCCCTTGCGTACGATTGGCGAACAAGTACGGGTGGTATTAGCTTTGATAGACTCATTCTCCTTGCGTGTTGGAATTTACATGACGACGTGTGGATGGCGGACGTGTTTGTGGACCGTCGGTAAACAAGCCGATCGTTTCGCGACTTTCGCTTTGATTTCTTCTTTCTTCTTTTCCTTTGTGTAGTTCTTTTGGTGTTACTTTAAAGCGACGTCTTTCTGTTAATGTAGCTTTACACACGCTATCCAATCTACATCTGCAAAACTACCCGAGGGCATGAGCAGCATATGGATGCCTCCGTTTGGAAGTGACTTGTTGTAAGGCTCCTTTCGCGTTCGGTAAAACAATTGTTGGCCAATGAGAGGGCCTGCTGAAGTACGAAAGAGTTGTCAACAGCCGCGTCGCGTAGCTGCTTCCCGGATGTAGTACATTTATGGGGCGTCCTAATATAGTAAAACCCTTACACTCTATCGGTGATGCGTGACGTCATGATCGTCTTTATGATGTCATCCCTCCTTTTCTTCCGTCCGCTCGATTTTCGACACCCAAGAGCTGTAGCATGACTACGGCCTTCCAGCGAACCAGACGAAAAACTCGACATGATTTTATTACGGGCTACTACGCCGCGCGTGTGGATATCGTGCACAAGGGCGGATATCTGCGTTCCTCGACGTGCCATTGCGAAAACTGCCAGTACTCGCAGTGTCAACACCAACGCTGGCATTAAATACAGGAATGCAAACACAAAACCTACCACCTCTCCCATAGACGACGAAAACAAGGACCATCAACCGTCCCAAGGGCATGTCACAGCTCCTGCTCAACGGCATCCGCAGGATCCACTCTCACAGGCTGCACGTTCCGCACTTGAAACCCGGCATCCCAGTTCCACCTCACGGCTTGAAGGAGAGGCAGATAAAATAGATGGCCCATCGTCCCTCGATGCAGCCTCCCCCTCTGAGAGCGGCATGAAAGCACCGAGATCAGGGTTAAGCGGGAACGAGGAGGGTGTCGGGTTCGTCGAACAGGTTGGTTCTGCGAGTGGAACAGAAGCGTCTCGTTCGATGCGGGCCGGAAGGCAAGGAGAAGGAGAAGTAAAAGAAGAAGCGAGACCACCTGGCATTCTTGCCTCACTCAAGCAGATGCTTGGGATCGGAACGTCTGTGGAGGACGTGAAACAGAACAGGGGAGGTGGAGAGGGTGTTACGGGAACCGGTACTCGGATGGGTATGACCACTGGAACCAAATTGGATACGACGGGGACTAGATTCGGGAAGGGGATGGCAGCAAAACCACGAGAGGGAGGCAGTACAGAAGAGGGGACCAATCCGAGGACGCCCGGGTCACGCAGATTTTACTATAATTGCGCAACGCTAGGAAGCGTCGACATGGCCAGCTCGTCATCAACTGCACCAGAAAAAGTGTCCTCCCAATCCCAGTACTCTGATTCATTTCGCAAACCAGAAGAGAGAACGCATGGGGGCCAGAACGAGCATGTCGAACCTAAACGACCAACTTGGGATCGCGATAGTGGAAGTGGGAATGCGGTGGAGGAGCCGTTTTTGCCTTCTCACCTGGATACCAACGGGAAAGGCGAAGGAAGAACTTAGAAGACGTGGTGCCGGTAGTGAACAGGCTCGAGCACGGGTCAGAAAATGTTAGTTATCCCTGAACGGAACGGCATCCACAGGGGATGAGCCGGGGGAATCGAGATGGAGACGGGTAACAGGGCGACGTGCACTGGCTAGCACAGCGTACATAACTATACTTAGGCTATGTGTGTGACTTGAGAAAAAAAGGAAACAAAAAAGTCGTTGGTCTCTCAAATTTTCAGATCTCGAATATGGTCAAGCTTGCCTCGCCGTGTCTGACGGATGGCCTGTGGTCTAGGATGAACTCTTACCTTTGACCTCTTCTATCACTGTCAGAACAGCGAACCCCAGTACAGGAGCGTCATTCGGGTGAAATACCCACTGCATTTCGCACGCATCCGTATGGGGCCTATTCTACGCGGTAATTAACGGGTAATACATGCCACCCCTATTCAAGCTTCAAGGAAGTCCCCTTCTGTGTGCAACAAACGACTCGTCAGTGTCCCGTACTAGTATACAGCTCCAGTCAGGACATGCAGCACAGTTTCTTTTTCAGAAGCATATAGCAGCTTTATTTCAATTCATCCGTATGCAACACCAGCTGAACATTTACAGACGTCCACCCGATACTTTGTGCTTTCTTACACTGACACACGTGTTCAATACGTGGCTCTGACTCTACCATCCCTCGTTCACTCGCTGGGAAATTTGAACCTATACAACTCCGTCTCGAGGTAGCCAGGTGGAGCTGTCGGAGTCTGCTGGAGGGGTCCGACGCTGATCTAAAAGAAAGGCGTGTTTCAATCCTCTAGAATGTGCCATAATCGACGCTCTACAGCTACCTGCGGGCTTTTATCATCGGTCGGAGCGATCCACCCAATTTCTCCGGGTTCATCGAGCCTCTTGACAATCCTGTCCATCCATCCATTGACACGCAACCACGACCCCACATTAAATTGTCAGAATCCAACGGGCAAGAACGAAACTGGTGAATGCAACCTACGTATAGGCATCTTGAAGTTCTCTGTATCTAATCACCCACTCTTGTGCGCGTCCCTCCACCACAGCAAATACCTTGCCTTCCAGTTCGATAACTTGCATCCCATTGGTGGTCAGTGTGTATATGTCGCCTTCGACATGCCTGAGGACGAACTGTACAAAGTACGTGGATGAGCGTACGAGGTATGGGTATGTTAGGTGACGATTCGTACCCTCGGAGGTCGGATACCGGAGCTCCTTGCAATCAAGTTGACTGGTAGGATGGTAGGTAGGATCAGGGAAATGCCAACGTAGGGGTTCCCCCAGCGCCGTTGAGAGCTGAGGAGATAACGACCTCGGCATGTGTTTTGATATTGTTGGGCATGCTAACAGTGATGTGTTCGCTTGCAAGACCGGGTGTGGGGGTTTGGGGACTCGACAGAGTCGACTCTGGGAGTTAGATGAAGGCGGCCGGTCACCGTCCTTTTATCCTCCATGACACGGCGCAAAGGACTTGTCACAATCAGGTGAGAAGCCTACGAGTTGTCGCAATGCGACACTTCTCATGCCCACGGGATTTAAGATCAAGCGGGCTTCCATTCCCCTGTCTGACCACAATGAGTAAGTCTCAGGTACCGAGGCTCACTGGATCATAATTCTTCACTGCAATGTTTTCCGCCTGTGGGTAGAAAGAGCGTTCGACCATGTCCTTACAAGAACCGTCTCATGCAGTACCCCGGATGCCATGAAGGTCACACAGACACAGTACATGCAATTGTTCATTTCTCAGATCCCCATGTCTCGCGTACAAAGGCTTCGGGCTCCGTGGTAGATTATAGAACACTTGAATTCACCGCCGTATCCCCCACCTATTATGTGTACAAAGGTCATCGGGGTCAGGTGAGCTGATACAACACCAAACTTATCCTATTTGAATGGGCTTCCACTCAAGCTGTCAGGCATCAGAACACAAGAAAAAGACATCAGCCCATCGTTCCCGGACTCGAAGAATGCTATGGGGCAAAATTCATTCCTCGGATCCCCCAGATCCCCCAGATCTCGCGTACCGAGGCTCCCTGGATCTTAGAACATTTGATACTTCACCGCCGTATCCCCTACCTACCATGTGCATGTAGCATAAATCATTTGGAAGTCTTGATCGACCACGGCCACTTCGCGCGGCACCATCCTCCACGCAGCATTCTGGAACCAGGGCTTACAGACGCTTGCAGTTGGAATCAGCGATGAAATAGGCCGGTTCAACCGGTCTCATCGAGTATTGTGTTTTAAGCGTAACCCGGCGATGAGATACCCGGGAGAGGTAGACCATCGCCGCATCGATGGAGGCCGACTCTCCTACGGTGATGCATGGATTCGCTAGCACATGATTGGTCAATCAACCCGGAGAACAATATACATCCTTATATCCTACCGCTGTCACCCGGAATTTCCTTCTCGCATAAAGTCGGTGTCTGTGATAAATGCGGCTCTCCAATGACCGTCCCGACACAAAAACATTAGAAATTCCATTGTACGGTTGAATCCATCAAAAAATACTTCTATGTGAGAACATTCGTAGCTGGCTGCAGAGGAATTCAGATGGAATCGAAGTGACAACTAGGCGACGCGCTGCACACAGCGAGTGTGTCATCGGCTCGAGAATATGAAAGTCTTTTCCTCCGAAAAGGGCAAATCTGCGTGCGCCAAAAGATACCCTCCATAGTACAGCACAAAAGACATCGTGATCAGATGAGAAGTTCTCGAGTTGGCACAATGTCACACTTCCCATGCTCGATTCGAAGGGGCTTCCTTTTGTGCACATAATAGGCGGGGGATATGGTAGTGAAATCAGTGCAAGCAAAACAGAAGCGTCTCGTTCGATGCGAGCCAGAAAGCAAGGGAGATGGTAAGTACAAGAAGAAGGGAGACCACCTGGCATTCTCGCCTCACTCAAGCATATGCCTGGGATCGGGACGTCTGTGGAGGGTGTGAAGCAGAACAAGGGAGGTAGAGAGGGTGTTACGGGAGCCCGGTACTCGGATGGGTATGACCACGGGAACCAAAACGGATACCACAGGGACCGGATTTGGAAAGGGGACGGCAACGAAACCAAGAGGGGGAGGCAGTAAGCCCAATCTGAGAACGCCCGGGTCACGTAATACAATGGTGCAACGCTAGTAAGTGTCAGGGTGACCATCCCGTCTGGAATTCCACCTGTGTCATCACAATTGCAGCAGAATTCCAAGCGCTGTCCCAATCCCAGTGCCCAGACTCGTCTCGAAAACCAAAAAAGAGAGCGCACGGGGACAAGAACGAGCATCGCATGCATAAACAATCGAGTTGGGACCGCGATAGTGGAAGTGGGATTGCGGCGGAGGAACCATTTTTACCTTCGCATCTGGATAGCAATAGGAAAGGCGAAGGAAGAAGTCGTGGTGCCAGCAGTGAACAAGTTTGAGTACGGGTAAATCGTCTTCGTCTATTCCTGCTTCTTGCACCTCTGGGGTCACGTCGTTGGTTATTTTACAAAATCACACACAGCTCTCATACTGAACAGTGGAATTGAGAATGAGGTGTAGGGAGTGGAGCCAGGTGAGACAGTTGCATGCGAAAACGCCGTCAAGTGCCCTGCTAGTCGTCCCATGGAATGCAATCAATGAAATGTGCTGTCAGTCTCGTGAGTACCACTGCACAGGTGAAGTGCACAAATGTCGTCTACTTGGTCAACGTTTCTAGGCTCAACGTTTCCAAGCTTGGTGGTGCCTACGATTGTCAGAAAATGCTGGTTGTTCTGGAACGGAGCGGGATGTGCAACCACCACAGAGGATGAGCTAGGGGATGTCCTCGCCGTCTTGCCTGTGGGTCTAAGATGATTGAGAAGGAACGATTGTCTTCTGTCGAGTCTTTCGTTTGCCTAGAGGAGACTAGAGATGCCGAGATGTCTAGTTTCTCCGAGTCTTTTACTGTTGCAGTGGCACGTGAAAATTATATCCGCTGTGTTTCGCACGGCATCCGTAGAGGACTCCTCTACTCCTAGTACGTGGCAAACCGGGCAGTACCACCCCCGTCCTTTGAAAAAAGGCCTGCGATCCCTTTCTGTGTGCAACGTCAGACTCAACAGTGTCCTGATAATAGTATACGGCTCTGGTGTCCAAGTCTGGGATTTTTCAAGTATCATCGACATACTACACAACAATGGCTGAACATTCACATAACACTCCGCGCTATCTTACACCGAAGAATCATCACGCCGCTTCGACTCTCCGATTCCTCGTTCACTCCAGGGGAAATGCGAGGTTATATAATTCTTCGGGGCGGTATTGGCCCGGTGGGGCTGTCGGAATCTCCCTGAGGCGTCCGACACGGATCTGAAAGACAAGCATGTTTGAGTCCTCCAGAATGTTGCCATAACAAGCGTTCCACGGTTACCTGCGAACTTCCATCGGTCGGAGCGATCCATCCAATTTCTCCGGGTTCATCGAGCCTCTTGACGATCCTGTCCATCCATCGATCCACATCCAGTCACGACCAGCCACGTGAAGTTATCAGAATCCAGTGGGCCAGAACGAAAGCGGTCAATGCAACCTACGTATACCCATTTTGAAATTCTCTGTATCTAATCACCCACTCTTGCGCGCGTCCCTCCATCAGCAGCAAATACCTTCCCGTCCTTCTCGACGACTTGCATCCCATTGATGGTAAGTAGTGAATATGTCGCCTTCGACCCTCCTGAGGACGAACTGTGCAAAGTACGTGGATGAGTGTACGACGTATATTGGTGATGATCCGTACCCTTGGAGCTTGGATATCAGGATTCCTTGCAATCAAGTTGACTGGTAGGACTGGTAGGACGGGTCGGGGGAACAGCCAACGTAGGGGCTGCCCCCGGGGCCCATGAGGACTTGAGGAGATAACCACCTCGGCATCTGCTTTAATAATGTTGGACATGCTGACAGTGACGTGTTCGTTCGCAAGATTAGGTGTGGGGAATTGGGGACTCGACAGCGTCGACTCTGGGGGATAGATGAACGTTGCTGTTCACCGTCCTTTTATCCTCCATGGCACGGCGCAAAGGACACCTCCATCGGGTGAGAAGTCTTCCAGTGGGCTTCCATTCGACCTGTCAAGTACCGGGGGAATGGTAATGTAGGGGTTGCCACTGATGCCGCTAAGGACTGAAGGGATAACGACCTCGGTACCCACTATGATACTGTTGGGTATGTCAACAGTAATGTGTTCGCTGGAAAGACCAGGTGTAGGATTTGAGATTCAACATTGTCGACCCTAGGAGACAGATACAGGTTATTGCTCACCGTCCTTTTGTCCTCCGTAGCACGGTACAAAGGACATCACGATCAGGTGAGAAGCCTTTGGGTTGGCGCAATGTCACATCTCTCATGTTCGGTTCAAGTGGGCTTCCTTTCGATGGGGTCTCGGCTCTGGCAGGTCGAATGAAAGCTTGTATTGTCTCAGCTCCGCAGTTGATCGCGATGGCCGTTGTACACATCATAGGTGGGGGATATGGCGGTGAAATCAAATGTTGTATGACCTACTTCTGTAAATTTCGTCCCACAGGAACTCTTAAGGCCGAGCTTCCTTAATGGTGTCAATATCATTCATTGTCCGACGAGCCGGATGGAAAGTACCCCAATCGTAGTGGTGCCGCAGTCACCCCTTTCCCCCCGCTCCTCTTCAGGTGTTATCAAGAAAATGAAAATAAGACAAAAGTTGCTTTGTTTTGGGCATGGTGCCCGTCGTCATACGATTTGTGTACAGTCTTCTCAAACTGTCTGATTTCACGCCGTTGAAATCAAACATCGTTCCATTCTTCTTTAGTGATTGCTACCCAGCTCGCAATGATGATGAGAACGAGCGACGGTGAATACTCGACTGGTGACCTCGATTACGGATTTTGCACTGGTTCATCGGGGTGGAGCAAAATGTCTATGACAGTTCCAGTGCACGCGCCCTGCGCCGCCGGTGAGGCTTGAAGTTGAAGGCAGTCTGGATAACCATCACTTTCATCCTAATAGTGATGTTTATGGCGTCAGGGAGGTTAATGTGTCATCAGCATTTCTTTTCACCTCGCACGCCTGCACGTCATTTCACGAAAGCATATTGGTCAACCGAAGCGACGGGCTGTTCCTTGAGAGAATCTTCCGCCGTGCACCAGAAAACAAGTATGTAGCTTTCGCAAGCATGTTTTGCACTGTTACCTGCAATGAAAGGGTCAGGTCATGCATCTGTCCATTGGGCGAGGGTGATGTTGGTCGGAATACAAGCCACAGTCATGATAAATCCCACGCCGTGTCGACACCAGTGCAATTGAGTCTTTCCTTCCAAAAAAGGCAGCTCTGTATTTGCGCAAAAAGGCAACTGTGCCATCCTCGCGTGACAAACAAATTGCAAAATCCTGCTGCCGTGCAACCAAACAGGGTAGAGCCCAGTGTCCCCTTCGGGGTGACATACGTAAAAATTGGAACGATACAGAGAAGATTAGCATGGCCCCTGCACAAGGATGACACGCTGTTCCGGAGTGGTAGACCTACGGGTCTCAATATTTATTTTCCTTTCTTTTTCTTACTCGGTACTATACAGCTCGAACGGACGTCTATTCATCACGAGAGGATAGATCTTTTAAAGATGTGTGATCATTAGTTTATCTATCGTATATGGTAGATGTCATGTCATCTTCTTGTCTACTATCATCGCGAGTCGACTGCCATCTTTGCAATATTCACCATGTCCTCTGAGACTCAACCCGAACCTATCCAACCTGTCGAAGTCCTGTATTGCAAGGGTAGGTGCTGCCTGCTTGTCCATTTACGAAAATTGCTGACACTTGACTTGCACACCACTTTACACGACACTGCTCATCATCAACGACACGCAGTCTGCACATTTCCACCCGAGTACTGCGAATTTGGATCCAGCTTCACTCGATGCAAAGAATGGTTGAAAGAGTCGCATCCGGCGTTGTATGACAAGTATTATTCAGATGGTGGGTTCTACCGTACATATGCGAAGGATTTATTTCGCTCAGTCTGATACGATATCGACGACACCACCCACCATTCATTCCATTGGCGATACGTATCGAGCAGAAGCTCTCCAGTCCAAGCTCGGAACCCTCAGTCTAGAAGCGCAAGCTAAACTCGAGAAGGACACCGCCGAGAAGGAGGCCAAAGCGGAGAAAAAGGCGGATGCGGCACTCAAGAAGAAGATGGCGTCTCAAGTCTCGATAAAACGGATGGAGAGGAACAAGCGGAAGTTTGTTACGGCTATCCACTGGACTAGAGGCGTTTGGTGCGTCACGCTCCCATTCTTATCCCCAAACTTTTCCCTGTAACAATCCTATCCTAAATTCATACGAAACATCTTAACCACCTCCCCCCATGCAACAACAGACGTCGAGCTAAAAAAGGCTTCTAAATTCCTCGCCCAAAAATTCGCTACTGGTGCATCCGTCACGAAGAACCCGCAAGGACAGGACGAGATCGTCGTACAAGGGGACGTTGCGGAGGACGTGCTAGAGCTCATCGAGAGCAGGACTAGGGGTGTTTAAGTCCGTGCCGAGTGCAAATGTGGTGATTGTAGAGGAGAAAAAGAAGAAGGGGGAGTGAGCGATGGCGCTCGTGCATAAGATAGGAGAGGACGGCATGTCATGGGGTGGTGTAGGAATGGGTTTAAATTAGCTGGGGTAAGGCGAGACGGACGGACGAAATCGCATCTGTCAGGCAGGTCATTGGTCAATTCGCTCTAGTGAGTATTCCCGAATGAATTTTGATTAAGAGGCATTCATATATTGTGGTTATCCCTGAGCCGCTTTGTCGTCCGTTCTATGGTACGCTTTCACAAATTGAGACAGATCCCATTCAGAATTCATAGAACTCGTTCGATCCGGTACTTGTAACACGCTATAGTGACCGTACCGTCTCTTTTGACCGTCGGAACTTCATTTCTGAAACTCTAGTCCCCCGTGGTTTGGCTCGTCTTAACCGTGCCAACCACATACCTAACAGCCCCGTTCACTCATAAGCTGTTCAGGGAGTTGGTGAAATCATCCTCTCCAAGCTTCTAATCGACATAGTCACGTGTGAGGTACAGTGAGATCATGACGTCATACGAGAACTCCATATATGTATCAACCAGAGGCCGTGGCTAGCGGTCAAAAAGCACTAGTTCCCAGACGCTACCAGATATTGAAAGATGTTACGACTCACGTTCAAGTCTCCCTTCGCAGTTGCCACGTCCATCTCTACTGTGGTGCTACGCACCCCCGCTGCTCCAGTTCTCGTACCCAGCGTTGCCCAGAGGCATCTACACCATTGCGCTCCGCTTTCCAGACATTCTCTCTCTCATGCCCCTGGTTCTCAGTCTACAACGCTCTCCCATATCCCCCCATCTTCTTCGTCTTCAAGGCCATCGGATAGATTCCGACCTGACACTGAACCATCACCCCATCCAAATGCCGAAGACTACTGCAAAGATGACGTCGTTACACCTCCACCTTCCTCTTCTGTGTACGCCGTCGATCCCTCATGCGAAAACGTCCAGTCTGCCCAAGACGCACCGACGTCGGGGGAATGGTCCCAAGCCAGTGCACACTCTGGGGAATGGACTCGATCTCCTGATTCAGCGCGGATGATGCGCGAGAATGAAAAATCGAGATGGGAAGATCAGTACGAAAACGTAAGTCGGGATGAACCGTATGATGTTCCGACTCCTTCCAAGGAAACTTGGTCATTGAGGGACGGTTCTAAAGGAGAGGAGAGGAAATTAAGGTACGGTGGGCAGGAGGTTTGGGCCAAGGAGAAGGGGCATGAGGTTAGTCCGTCGTGGGAGGGTCCTTCAGGGACAGAGAAGGGGGGCAGGAAGCCGGAGGGCATATGATAAAAATGCTTTTTTTTTGGGGGGGATTTCTTTGATTTTTTCGAGCCTTTGGCTGACGTGCAGCTGCATCCATAGGCTTAGAAGGATCAACAGGTCGGGTCTCGTCAGAGCTGTGGTGACGAAAACGCACTGTAACATTAAGCTTGTTGGAATCACATCATTTTCATCGCAAGCACACGGTGACTGTTGATCGCGCATACTATGGAGCTGATTCTAGGAAATCTACATTTCGGAATGTACAGATTGAAACAACGACCATCGGCAAGTGTACGGTTTGGCCTTTGGTACTCTTGCATAGCAAGCCAACAACCTACATGCGTGTCACCACTACGGTCTCTTTCCATCGCAGAGTCCAGTTGCAGTACGGTATCTGTGTAACCTTCGCGCCATGCGGGGTATTCTGTGAGACGTTCTTGAAGGACATGATAGAACGCTCTTTCTGCGACGGGTGGGGAATATTGCGGCGAAGAATTATGATCCAGGGAGACTTGGTACCTGAGGGGAGAGTTTAATGAATTTCGTCCCCCAGGATTGGTCAACTCCAGGGACGGGGATTCGAGGCCTTCTCCCCGATGACCCTTTGTTGTCTGACATGAATGGAAACACACTCGAATCGGGTATGAGAAGTGTGGCATTGCGCCAACTCGAAGACTTCTTACCTGATCGTGATTTCCTTTGCGCCGTGGCACGCAAGATAAATGACCAGCGACATTTATCTATCTCCCAGGCTGTCGAATCATTAAATTCTCACACCTAATCCTGCGAGCGAACACATCATTGTCAGTATGCCCAACAATATCAATGCAGATACCGAGGTCGTTATCTCCTCAGCTCTCAACGGCATCGGGGGCAACCCCTACGTGGGCATTCCCCTGAACCGACCTACCCGCCTACCAGTCAAATTGATTGAGAGGATTCCCGGTGTCCGACCTCCACGGGTACGAATCGTCACCTAACATACCTCGTACACTCATCCACGTACTCTGTGCAGTTCATCTTTACGCGGGTCGAAGACGAAATATACACGCTTACCATCAATGGGTTAAATGTCGTCGAGCAGCAAGGGAAGTTGTTTGCCGCGGTGGAGGAACCCGCGCAAGAGTGGGTGGTTAGATACAGAGCATTTCACGATGCCTATACGTAGGTCGCATTTACCGGTTTCGCTCTGGCCCACCGGATTCTGACAACTTCATATAACCGATCGTGGCTGCATATGAATGGATGGACAGGATCGTCAAGAGACTTGATTCCCGAGAAGAAATTGGGTGGATGGCTCCGACTCAAGATGGCGACCGGCAGGTAACTGCGGAACATCGATTATGGTGACGTTCTAGGGGACTGAGAAATGCTTGTCTTTTAGATCCGCATCGGACGCCTTGGGGAGATCCCGACAGTCCCACCTGGCTACCTCGACCGGGAGTTATATAGGTTCGCGTTCCCTGAAGAGTGAACAAAGGATCGGAGAGTCAAGGCGGCGTGCTGAGCATGTTTGTCGGTGTAAGAAGACACAGTGTCGTGTAAATCCTCAACCGTTGTTGTCTATGTCAATGATACTTGAAAAAATACCGCACTTCGTGCGCACGGATGAAATGAGTAAGATTGTCCATAAGAGAGCACGAACCGAGCAGAGCTGCAGGGTAAGATAATATACATAGCACAACTTGCCAGTGGTGCTTGGGCGAGAAGATTACCGGACAAGAACCATCGGGTCGCTTGATGTACACAGAAACGGACTATGAAGCTAGCTTGAACGGAGGTATCACCGTTTGCCACATAGAACTGACCTCCACCTGTTAGACCACTATCTAAAATGCCTCCTGGTGGAGTTCGCTATAGCGTGATACCGTAGCGGGTATTTCGCCGGAACGTTTCTGTGGGTTAGCCGTTCGGACAGTGACAACAGAGGACTTAGGCATCGCCTTCAGACAACAGTTGACTTCGTAGTCCAGACGTCCAACCTTGTCTCACAACGCTGTGAAACCTAATTTGGATCCGGGTTTTCACGGCCCGCGCGGGCCGACGAAAAAAAAAGAGTAGGGAGCTCCCTACTACGAATCTAACTGTGCCAGTTTCGTTCAGAGGCCTTTCCAAAATCTCTCCACCAATTCCGTCATGTCTTTCTTTCACTCATCTGTTCAAGAGGGTCCCTCATTTATCACACATGAATTCCTGACTGTGTGCACTTACCAGGCCGAAGCAGAGTGGCTGCAAAGATTACGAGCAAATCCTTTCCACCCTCGCTGTGGACGTGCAAAAATAACAGACGCGTTTCGCCGAGATCCGCCTTCAGGAACGGCGTTGGAGTAGCGAGAGAGAGCCTCCGAGCAACGAACTGAGCTCAGGGGAGGCTATAGGCTAATGTGTGTAACTGTACATGTGTACGCCCGAGTCTTCGTCCGTCTGTATGCGGCTGTTCTCTACCTCCTTCCCCAGGCCTCCCTACTACAACACGCGACGCTGCATTTCACGCTTGGGACGATCCTCAGTTGGTTCGCATGTGTATACGCGGATGTGGCGCGAGTCGTGGCTAGGAATGACGGCGGTGCTGGGATTAGACCTCTAATATTGTGAGCGTAGCACTCCAATCTACTCTATCTGCAGCCCTCTGGTGCGATCTTGTTTGCGAGGCGGGTAATGTCTCGTAGTACTCATGGCCGAAGAGGGTGAATCCGTTCTTGACCCGTTCAGAGGACGCTTGTGGCAGTGCTCAAGAAACAACACACCAAAATTGAGGAAGAACTAATATTCTACTCGAAACCTCATCGAGGAGTACGACGAGCGACTCGACTACCATCCTCCGTATCAAATTCCATTACCTCGTCGGAATGTCACTGCTAGTGCGCCCATGACACCCCTGGAATTGCAAACCTCGTCATTGCAACAGTACCCGGCAACCCCAAACTGGCAGACAAAACCGACCGTCCTGCAGTTATTCTGTATGTACATTACTACTTATTATGACAATAGATTGACGTCTCCGATTCAGTGACACCACAGTCAATACAAGCAACGCGCAAGCAGTGATGCGATAAACTTGCTGATGCAATGTCGAGGGACGACGCGACCGGAGCCGTCCATTCAATTTCTTCCAAGCCATCGAAACCATCCGTTTTATCCTTCATGGCATGTCACAAAGGCCATCGCGATCAGCTGACCCGACGCCGTACCATGCTTGTCCTATTCGAATGGGCGTCCACACCACCTGTTAGAGGCCAGGCCACAAGGAGAAAACATTAGTATCGAAGAGACGGCTTTCAACCTTCATTCTCGGGGTGACTAGAGTCGACCAATCCTGTGGGGCGACAGTTATCAAAATTTATTCCTCCGGGTCGGATCCCCTGGGTCTCGCGTACCAAGGCTCCTTGGATCATAGATCAACGATCGGCTTCACTGTCATACCACGGCCGCCTCGTTTCATCCCCTACATGGCATGCCACAACCGAGGGTTTACAGATACTTCGTCGCAACCAAAATTGTCAATGGAAAGCAGTCGTAATAGGCCAGTTGGAACTACGTTCTTGCTGAGTACAGCCACGAGAATGCACCATGGGGTATTGCTCCCCAAACCGGTGTATGTCGAGTGTATCTCTCGGTTCGTGCCACCATACCTAAGGCCTGCAACGATCAAGTGGATGACTTGATATTGGTTTCTGATCATTTGATATTGATATTTCAAGTACCATTGAGATAGACGACAATGGTTCAACATTTACACGACACTCTCTACTTTCTTACACCGACAAACGTGCTCATCACGGCACTTTGACACTTTGAACCATCGTTCAGAGTGGAAATTGGAACCTATATAACTGCTCGAGGGGGTATTGGCCAGGTGGGGCTGTCGGAGTGTCATTGAGAGGTCCAACACGGAGCTAAAAGGAGCGCATGTTTCAGTCGCCTAGAATATCACCATAACGTTCCTCAGCTACCTGCGGGTTTCCTTCATTGGTCGGGGCGATCCATCCAATTTCTTCGGGGGCATCAAGTCTCTTGGTGATCCTGCCCATCCGTCCATTCACATGCAACCACGATCGGTCATACGAAGTTATCAGAATCGGGAGGGCCAGAGCGAAAGCGGTGAACGCGACCTACGTGTATGCATCTTGAAGTTCTCTGTATTTAATCACCCACTCTTGCGGGGCTTGCTCCACCGCGGCAAACAACATCCCTTCCAGCTCTACGACTGGCATCCCATTGATGGTAAGTGTGTATATGTCACCTTCGACTCGCTTGAACACGAACTGCACCACATAGGAACGTGAGATGATCAAGTATTCATCATGCGCAGGGGGGAGGACGATGATACGTACCACTGGGGGCCGGACACCGGGAGTCCTTTGAATCAAGTTGATTGGAAGGATGGTAGGCAGGATCAGGGGAACGCCAACGTAGGGGTTGCCCCCGATGCCGTTGAGAGCTGAGGAGATAATGACCTCGGCATCTGCTTGGATGTTGTTGGGCATGCTGACAGTGATGGGTGTGCTCGCAAGACTAGGTGTGGGAATTTGGGGACTCAACAAGGTCGATTCTGGGAGACAAACAAAGGACGGTCACTGACTTTATATACCCATGGCATACTGCGAAGGCCATCACGGTCAGGTGAGCCGATGCAATATCACACTTGCCCTACTCGAGTGGACTTCCATTCGGCCTGTTCAGACCAGACCGCAAGGAGAAAGCTCATCAACATCGAGGAGAAGGCCTTAAACCCTCGTCCTCGCAGTTGACCAATCCCTTGGGACGAAACTTACCAAACTTCGTTCATGGGATTCCCACATCTCGCCTACCAGTGCCATTCCGGGGTCCCTAGTACATCATAGACCATTTGATTTCACCGTCATATCCCCCACCCATTATGTGTGCAAAGGTCATCACAATCAGCTAGTAAGCTGACGCAATAAGTACCACGCACTCGCCCTACTTGTTTGGATGGGTTTCCACTCCACCCGTCAGAGTCCAGACCAAAAAGCGAAAAGCATCAGCATCGAGGAGAGGCCCTCCAGCCCTCGTTCTCGGAGTCGACCAATCCTGTAGAGTGAAAATTTACCTAAATTTATTCCTCGGATCCCCCAGATCATGTGTACCAAGGCTTCCTGGATCACAGGTTATTCGATAGGCTTAGCTGTCATACCACGGCCGCCTTTCTTCTTCCCCCACACGGCATGCTGGAACCGAGAATCGGTGATGAAAAGCAGCCTTAATGAGCCGGTTGGAGCTAGTGTCTTATTGAGTAAAGCCACCTCGAGAAATGCACGGTGTGGTATTGCTGCCAAACTTTGGTGCATGTCGAGCCCTCGATGAAGGTCGAATCTCCTACGGTTATTCACTAGCATACGATTAGTTCATTGCCTAGAGACAAATGTATATATACCCTCACTCTCATCGCCTTCACCGATTTTCTGTCTCTCATCAAGTCGGAATCTGTGATAAATACAGACCTTTGGATGGGCCGAGCAGAACACTAGTGCCGGTCATGTGAGAACCCCTTCGTGTACAACACAATTCCCCGTTTCTGTGAAATAAATGGGGGCAGCTTCTGTTCGACTTTTTCGAACAACGAATGATAACAATGCCATCAAATACTAGTACTCTTGCTTCTCCAACACCTTCTGGAAGAACAATAGTTAAAGACTTGATGGTTGCTATATCACGTTTAGCGGACGCATATCGCATTGAATCCACACCGAGAGTTCATGCATGTCATGCTGAGTGCTCTCGCACTCACAGCATCAGATATCAGCTTGTCGGACGAAATACACTGCTGCACATATTCCGCAGACTGCATGACTTTCAACCCCTGAAATGTGAGTTCGTACACACGAGAGCCATGACATGGTGCTCCAGTAGTGACGGAAATGTTCCTGACTAAAATCCTCCACCCACTTCGTGGGAGTTGGGGATCATTCATCGTTGCGACAGAGTCGAACGAAACTACCCAAATCTGGTTCCTAGAAACAAGGTATTGGTTGCCACAAACGGGTTCTCGCACGATCAGCACTAGCGTTTATTAGCGCTCTGTTCGGCTCGCCAGTGGTCTTTATTTGCACAGACACCGACTTTATGAAAGAAGTATCCAAGTGAAGGTGGTAAGACATGAGGGTATATATTGTTTTTTTTGGGTTGATCGATTGATAATGTGCGAGCGAATACATACATGTAGGAAGTCAGCCTCTATCGACGTAGTGATAGTCTACCTCTTCCGGGTATCTCATCGCTAGGAAAAGACTAGTTTAGCAGCAATACCCCATTGTGCATGCCTCGAGGTGGCTCCATGAACCAGTTCCAACCACGTCATTACGGCAGCTTTTCAAAATTGATAATAGGGGAAGCATCAAATGTCTAGAGACATGGTAGGCGAGATCTGGGGGATCCGAGCAATGACTCGACAGGATTGGTCGACTCCTAAAAGATGCTGATACCTTTCTCCTCGTGGTCTGGAGCCTGACAGGTAGAGTGGAAGCCCATCCGAATAGACGGGCTAAAGTGCTGATAGTGATGACCTTTTTATAGATAATTAGATGGGGACACGGCAGTGAAATCAGAACATATGTGATCTACTAGGGACTCGGAGCCCGGTGCCTTGGTACGCGGGATACGAGAGTCCGAGGAATCAAGTTTTGTCCTCCAAGATTGGTCAACTCCGGGCACAGAGGGTTTAAGGCCTTCCCCTTTCTGATAACTTTTCTCCTTGTGGTCTTGTTTGAACAAGGCGAATGGAAGTCCACTCGAATAGGACAAGTGTGGTATTGCGTCAACCCACCTGACCGTGATGGCCTTCGCAGTATGCCATAGGTATATAAAGTCGATGACCGTCCTTCCTTTGTCTCCCAGAGTCGACCTTGTCGAACCCCCAAATCCCCATACCTAGTCCTGCGAGCGCACACACCACTCTCAGAATGCTCAACAACATCCAAGCAGATGCCGAGGTCATTATCTCCTCAGCTCTCAACGGCATCGGCGGCAACCCCTACGTTGGTATATCCCTGAACCTGCCTACCATCCTTCCAGTCAACTTGATTCCAAGGATTCCCGGTGTCCAGCCTCCAGTAGTATGTATCATCGTCCCGCCCTCCGCGCATGATGAATACTTGATCATCTCACATTCCTACGTTGTGCAGTTCGTGATCAAGCGGGTCGAAGGTGACATATACACACTTACCACCAATGGGATGCAAGTCATAGAGCTGGAAGGGAGGGTATTTGCCGCCGTGGAGCACGCCCCCCAAGAGTGGGTGATTAAATACAGAGAACTTCAAGATGCATACACGTAGGTCGCGTTCGCCGCTTTCACCCTGGCCCTCCCGATTCTGATAACTTCGTGTGACCGCTCGTGGTTGCATTTGAATGGATGGATGGACAGGATCACCAAGAGACTTCCCGTCCCCGAAGAAATTGGATGGATCGCTCCGATCGATGGAGAAAACGCGCAGGTAGCTGAGGAACATTATGGTGATATTCTAGATGACTGAGAACATACCTTCCTTTTAGATCCGTGTTGGACCTCTCAATGACACTCCGACAGCCCCACCTGGCCAATACCCCCTTGAGGAGTTATATAAGTTCCAATTTCCTTCACTGTAAGCGATGAATCGGAGTGTCAAAGTGCCATGATGAGCACGTTTGTCGGTGTAAGAAAGTACAGAGTGTCGTGTAAATGTTGAACCACTGTCGTCTAGGTCAATGATTCCGCATGCCAAATAATATGTGTCAGTGAGGTATGACGCCATTCCTGACCGGTCAGACCTGTGAGGTCACACGAAAGGGGGTAGCACCCGATTGCGCCTCGTAAGAACGAGAGATCCAGTGAATGCTTAGTGATAAACCAAGTTTATACTCCATGAAGCATTGCATCATTATGGACCTCCATCGCTCGTCGATGGTATGAAGGTAAGGAGTAACTAAGAAGCTTGTCTTCTAACCAGTTCCTTCAGGACCTCGGTTCCAGGCTCAGCCCCTTGGATATCGTTTCCATAGGCGAGAACGACTCTTACATCTTCCACAGCCACAACTCCTGAAGGGGGCGAACGGCGAAAGACAAATGGAGAACTTGAAACATGCTCATTACAGGTCGCAAGTTTCAGGAAAAGGTCGTGCATGGGTTGAGAGTCAGCTATTTCACACCCATGATGGAAATACCAACCGTCGCGTCAGGCCAACGATACCTCATAGCAGATTACCATGGCTCTGACAAGTGTCACAGTGATATTTGCACTATTGGACAACTTCCTTCGAGGCGTCATGGATTCAAGGATGCACGTTTCTGAATCTGAACGGTCATCGGAGATCCATATTCGCCCAGATTCCGACTTTATGCAAGAAGACCCCTCGTGAAGGTGATAAATTTCGATGTAGAATGTGACCAATCGTATGCTCCATCAACGTGGCGCATCATGGTATACCCAGGCTTGACGTAGGCTCCCAAGTATCAAATCATCGAGTTGTCGTCGAAACGCGCCAGATTCATGATAATACCCCACCACACAGGTCTCTAGAGGACTCTATTTAGCAGGAAGCCAGATCTGAACCACCTACGTGTGTGTGACCACTACAGTTTCTTTCGTTGCGCAGCCCAATTGCAATACTTAGGCTTCACGGCACCCCGCGTATTACGTGAGACGACTTTTTCAAGGACATGATCGAACGCTCTTTCTGCCATAGGTAGGAGATATTGCGGTGGAGAATTATAGTCCAGGGTGCCTTGGTACCTGAGATCTGGGGGATCCGAGGGATGAAGTCGGGGTAGCTTTCGACCCATGGAATTGGTCGACTCCAGGGACGGCGGTTCGAGGTCATCTCTTTGATGGTGATAGTTTACTCTTTGGGGTCAGACAGGTCGAATGGAACGGACATGAGAAGTGTGGTATTTCGCCAACTTGAAGGTTTCTTACCTGATTGTGATTGTCCTGTGTGCCGTATCATAGAACCTAAAGGGACGGCAATCAGCAATCTTTATCTATCTACCGGAGTCGACGCTGTCGAGTATTCGCTCCACATTTAGTCTTGCGAGCGAACAGGCCACTGTTAGCATGCCCAATAATGTCAGAGCAGGCAAAGAGGTCGTTATCTTCTCGAATTTCGAAGGAAACCAATGCGTTGGCATCCCCCCGACCTTATCTGCCTTCGTACCAGTCAATTTGATTGGAATGCATCCCGATGTTAAACCTCCAGTGGTACATATCATTGTTCTCCCCCATGCACGATGAATACTTTATACACTCCTCCGCATACTTTGTGCAGTTCGTATTCCAGCGGGTCAAAATACATGGAGCGGGAAGAGAAGTTGTTTGCTGCTGTGGAAAAACCGCGCAAGAGTGGGTGAGAATTTCACAATACCTGCCGCATTCACCGCTTTTCGTTTTGGTCGACCGAATTCTGACAACTTGGCGTAAATAATCGTGGCTGCTTTGTGAATGGATGGATCGCTCCGATCGAAGGTGGAGGCCGGCAGGTGGAACATGGATTGTGGTGACGTTGAAGAGGAGGAGTTCGGTATACGTGACTGCCGTTCCGAGTCAAAGCGTATGCACCGCCACCACTGACTGGTTCCTCCGTGCCACTGCAGGCCAGGGCTGCACCACCTCCCTCCATCGTTTTCTGAAAACTGTACTCTAAAAAAGAAACATTATGCCCATCTTTTTCAACCCTCTCCATCAACCTTTCAGAACCTCTCTTTACAACGTCACCACAGCACGCTTGAAAACCCTCCCTTCATTTGTGAAACTCTCAGCACGGAGACCATTCGCGAGTACTATACATACGCCTACGTAGTACAGGGCGCAGCTTCAGCAACACTTCAAGTTAGCGATCAGGATAGGAGAACAGCCCTGCACTTTGGAGACCTCCCAACGACAAATCGGCATAACCCAACTTACTTCCCACTTCTGGTCGCAAGGGTAGGTGCCAATGAGGAAAGGACGGTCGTCCACATCAATGCCACATACACTCGTGTGTATCATCATCCATTTCTCATATGGACAGCGGAACGCCTCATGTTCCAGCCAGCGCAGGTATGTAGCACGTCAGACCTCACCATTATCACCATCGCGACAGAAATTCAAGTAATATGTGAAATATCTAAGTAGCTCCGGCTCCTCATCGTGTACAAATACTCCTTTTGGAAAGTAGCTCGGTTACTCAGCGACGCAGATGGCGGCCTGACAGCTAGTCAGTCTTTAAAGTCTGCAATGAGTTTTGACGACTATCAGCCTTCTTTTTGCGGGGTTCCAAGATCGAAGGTCTTCCTGAGATGAGGCAGATTTTTCTGCTGCGTTGCTTGAGGGCGCAGTTAGCGTAAGGTCGGAGTTCGCAATGGGCACCTCTATCTGATGTTGTGGATGGGAGTTGTACTTGCCATAAGGTGTTCTTTTCCACTTCGGGAGGTTGGCTTTGTCCGCCGGATCACAGTTCCTGTGCTTCCTTTTTCGCGGCTTCAACTGCTCTTCATCGCATTAGGCCCTCTCGACTCCTTGCAGCTGTGCTGACGATCGGCAAGCCTGGAGAGGTGTTTGCTGCAGCATTCGATACCTGTAAGGGTCTCACGCATGCCTTGGCAAGGGACGACGATATCACCGACGAAGATGATCGAGCTGTTCGTGACTTGTTCAAGGTGATATCCGTTCCCGAAGGTATAGGGGCACGAGGTGTTTTATCATTCCTGTTTTCTTGTTATGGGGAAAACATCGCGAAGCAGACCATGAAGGTGGATATTTGCTTTTCCCTGTACTTCAACGAAGTCCCAAGTGGCTACGACCCTCACCTTCTATCGAAGAGGATCTTTCCGGCTCTGTAAGGTACCGATACTCCGCAACTTAGTGTGGCGAGGAACAAGTCCCGTCCGTGCGAATGATGCATGATCTTTTGAAGATTATCACGGACGTGCTTCACGATTTCATCTTGCAGAACATCTCAGAAACGCCATATCTCTACCCCCTCTGTAGACAGCTTGCATTCGTAGCCCTCGTTCTCAAAAGGTCTCGTCTTCTACATTTCCTCTGCGAAGACACCAGTCCCATCCATCTCGACCAGACACTGCAGGCAGAGAGGCTTCAACGCCGTTTCGCCGAAGTTTGCCAGTAATTTGACGGTGTTAGTAGTCTGATTAGGCATGGAATGGCCGACTCGATTTACGACATGGGCGAGACTACATTTAATCCAGACGGAGACCACTTGAGGGCCATAACACGAGAACTTAGCAATCATTCCCCTTCAAAGGACACTCTAGCCACACTGTGCAGGAAGTTCCCAGATATGGGGGAGATGTAGCACAGGAGGAGACGGAAGAAAGAGACGAATCTAGGTGAAGACCGGGTAGAGGTTGGCATTGGAGAACTCGGCCTTGATGATAAGCCAGAGCCAGAACATCGGCGTGGCATAAGTAATATCCGACGAATCTGTCCTGCCAGACCCGCCAGTAAGGAGGCCACCAAATTCCCCGTGCCGCAGGCGATCATCGCCCCGGAGTCTCCGCCCTTGGAAAACGCGCCTGAGTCGCTGTCGTATGGGAGGATTTCCCATTCAACTGAGTCCCGGAGAGTTTGGTTGGAGAAGTACTCGCACACATAGGAGAAGCATCCAGTGGCACGACCAATCGTGGTAAGAGGGGTAAGGCTGCGCTTGGGGACGTAGAGGCTGTTTTCGCCGTCGTGGTCCTTCGTCTTGGGATGGCGCATGCAATCCTCAACGAGACTGTCCCTGAGCACCAGGAGGCGTTCGGCTGGGTGCTTGAAGCCGAACTGCACTTGCGTGCGAGGATACATCTCGTTTACGTCGATCTCCGTCCATGAATATAAATAGTTACACCTTCAGTGAAAATGATCAGCACGCACCTAAGTCGATAACGTTCTCCTTAAAGGTTAGGCAGAATATGGCCTTTTCGAGCTCGACGACGCGAACGTCCTTGGCGAAGCCATGCGGAGTTGTACCGACAGTGATAGCAGGCGACCAGACAACGTGGCCGATCACACGCTGGCTCTGCTCACCGAAGTCCTTCTTCGTCTGCTCGTAGAGCTCCTGAAGCTCGTTAAAACGCAAGAAGCTGTATTTCACGCTTGGGAAGGTCCTCACCTGGTTCGCATATGTTAGCCTGTAGTATGCGCGGAAGTGGCGCGACTCGGGGCTAGGAATGACGGCGGTGATGGGATTGGACCTATATTGTAAGCGTAGCACTCCAATCTAGTATATCTGCGGCCCTCTGATACGATCTCGTTTGCGAGGCAGGTGGCGTCTTATGGTAGTCATGGAAGGGTGGTCAAGAAGGCGATTCATTACGGTGACCCGTTCAGACTCCTCAGGGGACGCGCTCGCTGACGTCTACAGGACGCTTTGCTCAAAAATAACACATGGATACTGTCTACTCGAAACCACGACGACCGCCATCCGCCGCACTAAAATTCCACACCACTACCTCGTCGGAATGTCACTGCTTGCAAACCTCGCCATCGCAGCAGTACTTGGCAACTGCGAACGGGCAGACAAAACCGCCTGTCCTGCAGTTATCTTGCACGTACATCACTACTTATTACGACAATAAATTGACGTTTCCGATTCAATGACACCACAGCCAATACAAGCAATGCGCAAGCAGTGGTACGATAAACTTGCTGATGCAGTATTGAGGGACGACGCGGCCAGGCCATCGAGCCCGTCCTTTTATCCTCCATGGCATACTGCAAAGGCCGTCACGATCAGCTGACCCGGCGCCACACCACGCGTGTCCTATTCGAATGGGCGTCCACGCCACCCGTCCGAGTCCTGACCACAGGAGAAAATATTGGAATCGAAGAGAAGGCTTCCAGCCCTCGCTCTCAGGGTAACTAGAGTCGACCAATCCTGTGGGGCGACAGCTACCAAAATTTATTCCTCCGGGCCGGATCCCCTGGATCATAGATCGTTTTATCGGCTTCACCGTCATACCATGGCCGTCTCGCTTCATCCTTTACATAGCATGCTGGAACTAAGGGTGTACAGATGCTTCGTTGCAACCAAAATCGGCGATGCAAAGCAACCGTAATGGGCCGGTTGGAACTTGTTTCTTACCGAGTACGGCTACCTCGAGAATGCACCATGGGGTATTGCCGCGAAAATTGGTGTGTTTCAAGTTTATCTTTAGCAAATGTATATATTCCTCCTCCGGCACAGTTCCACTTGGTTCGTGCCACCATACCCAAGGCATTCGACGATCCGATGGACGACTTGATATCGGTTTCTGTTCATTTGATATTGATGTTCCAAGTGCCATTGACATAGACGACAATGGTTCAACATTTACACAACACTTTGTACTTTCTTACACCGACAAACGTGTTCATCGTAGCACTTTGACACTCCGATCTATCGTTCACAACGAAGGAAATTGGAACCTATATAACTGCTCGAGAGGGTATTGACCAGGTGGCGCTGTCGGAGTGTCATTGAGAGGTCCGACACGGAGCTAAAAGGAAGGCATGTTTCAGTCGTCTAGAATACCACCATAATGTTCTACAGCTACCTGCGGGCTTTCTCCGTCTGTCGGAGCGATCCATCCAATTTCGAGGGGCCTGTCAAGTCTCTTGGTGATCCTGTCCATCCATCCATTCACATGCAACCACGAACCACAGTCAGTCATATGAAGTCATCAGAATCGGGTGGGCCAGGGTGAAAGTGGTGAACGCGACCTACGTCTATGCATCTTGAAGTTCTCTGTATTTAATCACCCACTCTTCCGGCGTTTTCCCTGCACCGGCGACCAACCTCCCTTCCAGCTCTATGACTTGCATCCCATTGGTGGTAATTGTGTCTATGTCACCCCAGAGAAGAATTATGTAATGTATACCCTCATGTCTTACCGCCTCACCGGATTTCTGTCTCTCATCAAGTCAGAGTTTGATAAATTTTGAAAGACCGTTGGCTGGGCCGAGTAGAACACTAGTGGTGATTATGTGAGAACCGTACAACGCAATTCCTCGTTTCTGTGAACTGAATTGGGGCAGCTTCCGTTCGACAAGTCGAATGATGAACGATAACAATGCCATCAATGACTAGTACTCTTGCTCCTCCAACACCTTTTGGAAGAACAATAGTTAAAGACATGATAATAGCTATATCGGGTAAGTACCTTTACCGGACGCGCATCCCATACCTCGTCCCGTACGAATCCACACCGAGAGTTCATGCATATCGTGTTTACTGTTGCACATATTCCACAGACGGCATAACCTTCAACCCCTGAAGTATGACTTGGTACACACAAGAGCCATGACATGATGCTCCAGCAGTGACGGGAATGTTCCTGACTAAAATCCTCCACCCGCTTTGTCGCAGTTGGGGATTATTCACTGTCGGATAGAGTCGAACGAAACCACCCCAATCTGGTTCACAGAAACAAGGTATTGGTTCCCACAAAGGGGTTCTTGCACGATCAGCACCAGTGTTTGTGAGTTCTCTGTTCAGCTCGCCAGTGGTCTTTATTTGTTACAGACACCGACTTTGTGAAAGAACTATCCAAGTGGGAGCGGTAAAACATGAGGGTATATATTGTTTTCTGGGTTGATTGATCGATAATGTGCGAGCCAATACATACATGTAGGAGGTCAGGCACTATCACTATCGATGTAGTGATATAACCTCCCTCTTCCAGGTATCTCATCACGGGGAACAGACTAGTTTGATAGCAATACCCCACTGTGCATGTCTCGAGGTGGCTCCATGAACCAGTTCCAACCACTTCATCACGGCTGCTTTTCCAAATCGATAATAGGGGAAGCATCAAATAACCCGGGGGCTTGGTAGGCGAGATCCTGGAAGACGTTGGTGTTTTGCTCCTGGTGATCTGGAGTCTGACAGGTGGGGTGGAAGCTCGTCCGAATAGGCGGGTTGAAGTGCTGATAGTGATGACCCTTTTATAGATAACTGGATGGGAGATATGGCGGTGAAATCAGATCTTACCTGATCTACTCGAGACTCGGGGCATGAAAATCCGAGGAATCAAGTTTTGTCCTACAGGATTGGTCAATTCCAAGGTCGACGGTTTAAGGCCTTCTCCTCGGTGTCAATAAGTCTTCTCCTTGTGGTCTGGTCTGAACAGACCGAATGGAAGTCCACTCGAATAGGACAAGTGTGGTATTGCATCAGCTCACCTGACCGTGATGGCCTTCGCAGTATGCCATGGGTATAAAAAGTCGGTGACCAGCCTTCGTTTATCTTCAAGAGTAGACGTTGTCGAGTCCCCAAATCCCCACACCTAGTCTCGCGAGCGCACACATCACTGTCAGCATGCCCAACAACATCCAAGCAGATATCCCGGTCATTATCTCTTCAGCTCTCAACGGCCCCGGGGGCAACCCCTATGTTGGAACTCCCCGGATCCTACCCACCGTCCTACCAGTCATCTTGATTCAAAGGGATCCCGGTGTCCGACCTCCAGTGGTACGTATCATCATCCCTCCCCCTGTACATGATGAATACTTGATCATCTCACGTTCCTTCTTGTCCAGTTCATGTTTACACGGGTTGGAGGTGACATATACACAATTACCGCCAATGGGATGCAAGTCGTAGAGATGGACGGGAAGTTATTTACCATGGTGGAGGGACCCCCGCAAGAGTGGGTGATTAGATACAGAGAACTTCAAGATGCATATACGTAGGTCGCGTTCACCGCTTTCGCCCTGGCGCACCCGATTCTGATGACTTCGTATGACTGATGGTGGTTGCATGTGAATGGATGGATGGACAGGATCGCCAAGAGACTTGACACCCCTGAAGAAATTGGATGGATCGCTCCGACCGATGGTGAAGACCCACAGGTAGCTGTGGAACATTATGGTGATATTCTAGACGACTGAAACATGCCTTCCTTTTTAGCTCTGTGTTGGACCTCTCAATGACACTCCGACAGCACCACCTGGCCAATACTTTTGGAGGATGATGTGCTGCAGGATTGTCAAGTCTATGGAGAGGAATATACTCAGACTTCAAGTTGGTTGAAGCTGAACAATGAACTACCTATGGAGAGGACTATACTGTAGGTAGGTAAGTAAATGTTCCAATATAATGAATGGAAGGAGTCCCACCTCAGACTTCAAGTTGGTTGAAGCTGAGGTGCAGTAAGGAAAAAATAAACTGCTAAGTGTCCGCTTTTGGATTATATAATGCTGTGCTCGGTGAACCACAACTAAGGTAAAGGTGATAAACTCCAACACACCCCTCCAGTGAGTATAGTCAAGAAGGAATTAAAAGAAAACAATACCCATAGCTTCAGAGAAACAAACATGCTTCTCCCTAGACACACCCTTAGTCAGCACATTGGCCACCTGGTCATTGGTAGACACATAGTTGATGACTACTTCTCCAGAATCCACCTTCTCTCGTATGAAGTGATGACAGATTGCAATATGTTTCATGTGGTTGTGGAACATCGCATTTTGAGCCAGTGAGATAGCAGATTGATTGTCAATGAGGAGGGGAGTGGGTTTGTGTGATGACACAGTCTTGAGTTTGAGGAGACTAGGGTATGAATCCAGATAGCTTCCTTCGTGGCAGCGCATGTGGCCATGTACTCGGCTTCTGTACTCAAGAGAGCAACAGATGATTGCTTTTTTGATGACCAGCTAACAGCTCCACCAGAAAGGATGAACGTATAGCCAGTAACAGAGCGGTGGTCATTGATATCCACTGCCCAATCTGCATCTACATACCTGATCGTGCATGCATTTGAGTCTCACTTATAGGTAAGGCAGACATCGGGGGTGCATCGCAGATAGCAAAAAACGTGCTTTAGCGCAGTAGAGTGTTCATGCCCAGGGCATGCAGCATGACGGCTCAACATGCCTACAGTAAAGGCAAGGTTGGGCCTCATTGCTAGCATTGCATACATGAGGGCTCTGAGAGCACCCTGGTATGACTTGGTGTTGGCCTCTGGAATTTCTAGTTTTTTGAGCTTTAGGTTAGGCTCAATGGGGGTTGTGATGGCTCGCCCCTTGCTCATTCCAAAGTGCTTGAGAATACTCTCAACATATCTCTTCTGTGAGAGCTGTATGATACCTTTATCATGGTCGTGAAGTATCTCCATTCCTAAAATCCAATGTGCCTCCCCCAGATCTTTCATCTCAGTACTCCTGCGAGAGCTGAGCCTTGACATGCTCAATGGTTGTGTGGCACTTTGAGAGTATTAGCTTGTCATCTACATAGACAGCAACAACAATGAGTATGCTGTTCTCGACTTTAAAGAAGAGGCTATGGTCGGCCTGGCTTTGAGTGAAACCCAGGGATTCAAAAACAGTCTGAAGGCAAGAGTACCATAACTTGGGGGCCTGTTTAAGGCCATAGAGCACTTGTAGCAGCCACCAGACTTTGTTGCTGTCAGGAGGAAAGCCCAGAGGGGGGTGAAGGTATATTTCTTCATCTAATAGTCCATTTAGGAATGCGGATTTAACATCCATCTGATGAATTTCAAGATTATACTTAGCAGCAAGCACCAGGAGTATGCGGATGGTTGTGAACTTGGTGACAGGTGCAAATGTTTCCGTGTAGTCGATCCCATGTACCTGTGTAAAGCCTTTGGCTACCAAATGAGCCTTGTACCTCTCAATTTCACTGGTCAGCCCTCGCTTGATCTTGTAGACCCATTTTGAGTCAATCAGTTTATGGCCAGGGGGCAGGGCAGCTTACTCATACTGTCTGATGGACTTAAAGGTCTGTAATTCATCAATCATTGCAGCATACCACTGATCTGCATCGGTGCATCACATTGCATTGTTGAATGAGCGAGGTTCATTGTCATGTGTTGTGGATGCTTTGTAAGCCACTTCCTCATTCGTCTCAGCCACCTCAGCCTCACTGTTGCCACATGCACGCTCTCGCTCTCGAGCAACTTCATCAATGGGGCTTCCACCCTCACTCTCTGCACCTGAACCCTCTGGTGCCACAAGCTGTTGACTAGGTAAGGTTGTCCTGTCATAGGAATTGATGAAAAAGCGATAATCATCATCTCTAGGTGGTGCTTTTCATGTTCTGGTGGACCTGCAGGTCTCTCGAGGCAGAATTGGAGTTGGATAGGGCTGTGGGGGTGTCGCTTTATGCATGGTAGGTTTCAGCATCGTCCTAGCTCGCTTTACTGATGGTTTTGAGGCTGTTTCAAGCGCTTTTTTAGGACTCTGGCCACTGCCTGGCATGTTACCCTCTGAGTGCTGTGGGGAATGATCTACCTTTGATCCTGAGTGATCAGGTGCGTCATTTGACTTGATTTCAACCTCATGGACAACATCTTCACTCTCTCCCTCACTAGACTCGAGATCCCCATCATCAGACTCCATGTGAGCATGGCCTTCCATGCCTGAAGCCCTGATGGTATCCAGGTGCAACATATTGCCCTGTTGGGCATTCCCTCTTATGTCTGCTGGTTTACTAACCATGCCTGCAGGATCTTCTTCTATCCGGATGCGATCTAGGCCTGCTGCTGTGCTTCCCTCATCAAATACTACATCCCAGGATTCGAAGACATGACCAGTGGGCTGGTGTAAGCATAGGTATGCTTTCTTGTTCTCTGCAAAGCCCAGATGAATGCATTCTAAGGACTTTGCATCTAGCTTCTTTCTTTTTTTCTCAGGTATATGTACGTGTGCGGTGCAGCCAAAGGTTCAGATATGGGCCAGCAATGGCTTAATCCCTGTAAAGGCTTCATATGGTGTGACATCCTTGGAGATAGCATGGGTTGGTGATCGGTTGATTAGGTAGGCCACATACTGGATAGCATCTCCCCAATATTTATTTGGCAGTCCAGCATCTTTTAGCATTGCCCGCACACTTTCAACAAGTGTGTGGTTCATCCACTCAGCAATGCCATTCTCCTGTGGGGTATAGGCATTTGTCTTCTTGTGGTGGACCCCTTTCGACTTGAGGTAGGCCTTGAACTCATCTGAGCCATACTCCCCACCTCTGTCACTCCAAAAATAATTTTCTTTTTCACCAGTCTCAACCTCAGCTTGAGCAAGGTAGTCTTTCACTGAGGGGAAGACTTCATCCTTGGATTTTATTAGTTTAACCACAAGGTGGTGCGAGCAAGCATCAATGAAGGTTATGAAGTAGTGGTGTCCAGTTTGGGCTGTAGTCTCCATGGGGCCACATACATCAGAGTATGTGTGGTAGAGTACTGTTGGGCTTTCAATGTTTGACCTGATGGGTATCACCTTACAGTGTTGCTTCCCTTCAAGGCAAGGTTGGCATACAGAGTTCAAGTGCTCAGTGCTGGTAAGCTCCATGCCTTCAACCATTCCCGCTTTAACCAGTTTAAGCACAGATTTTGTACTTGCATGCCCAAGTCGTTGATGCCACAAGTCAAGTGTGGCTACAGACTTTGGTGCTGCAGCTGCGAGAGCCAGGAAAGTAAGCGTAGGGTCAAGTAGTGGAGATGGTCCTTGTACAACAAGTGCTCCATGACTCAGAGAGTGAGTCCTTGCTGCAAGGATGTAGAGTGAGCCCTGATGACGGCCCACACCTACAGTGTCTGTACCATCGGTGATTGAGCATGTTCCACCCATGAAGGTGACCTGGACATTTCTAGTGGCAAGGTATGCCACCGAGAGGAGGTTTGCGCTGAGATCTGGAACAAAATAGACCTTCTGTAGTAGGATTCTACTGGTCTTCCCATTTGGAAGATCCATACGAAGTTCGATCCATCCAATGGCAGTAGCAGGAATTGTGCTCCCATTTCCAATGACTACAGGCTGCAGGGGTGAGAGCATCTTTAGCAAAGTGAACCATTTCTGCTGACAGCACATATTCACAGAGGCACCGGAGTCAATGACCCAGTGCATGTGTAGATTCTCGCCATTGTCAGTGGCCATGAAGAGCCATAGGGCGCTGTCTTCAACAGGTGAGATGCATGCGACTTCAGCAACAAGTTTGTCCTCCTTAGGCTTATCCTTTTTGGCCTGTGATGGGGACTTGGCTGCCTCATCAGCCTTCTTCTTGTAGCAGTCATCTTCGACATGGTTCATCTTCTTGCAATAGCCACAAGCCTTTTTCTTTTTCTTGTCATTCCTCTTTCCCTTTTTGTTAGGCATCTTTGTTATGAGGGCAGTTTGTGCCGAAGAGGTGTGGCAAGACTTTTCTTCTATCAAGACTTGGGAAATGACAGAGTCCGGAGTTAGTTTCTCATCAGATGACATGAGTATAGTGCGAAGGGTTGAGTACGAGGTTGGAAGGGAGATGACCATGGCTATGGCAGCAAGAGAGTCTTCAAGGGGCTGTCCCAGAGACTTTAGGATCGTTGCCTTCTGCCACATGGCATTAAGCTGCGTCTCCATCGAGACATCATCTGCTAGGGTACCACGAAATAGTTTGCCTATAAGGTAGGCTATCGTTTGTTTCCCTTTGCCTTCATAGCACTCGCATAGCTTTTTCCAGACTTCTGCTGCTGTTGTGGCATGCAGAACACCACTAAGTGGGTCGTCCTTTAGAGTAAGCATGATTTGAGCCCTTGCTTCTTTATCCTTGTAGTGCCAGTCTGCACATGCAACTGGATCAGCTGCTGCATCAGGTGCCTTCAACTTTCCTTCTACGAGCTCCCAAAGTCCATGGACATCTAGGATCATCATAATTTGGTACTTCCACGTCTGGAAGTTCAAACCATTGTCTTTGAGGGACGGTATGTCATAGAGTCGACTGGAGGCTTGAGTAGCTTTACCTGAAGGTGTAGTAGAGGTTACTGTTGAGGTGGAGACCAGGACCTTTGAGGGACCAGAAGTGGATGCTGACAGACCAGACATAGTAGACACTTTGTACCAGACTTGATGTGTTCAATTTTCCTAGGATTAGAACTCGCAGGCAGGGCTCATAACCTTTT